GATGGATGGATGGATGGATGGATGGATGGATGGATGGATGGATGGATTACTATACAGGTATAGAGTGAAAGGAGTGAAAACGGCTGTGTCAAAACATAGGCCCTATAGGCGTACAACGGCGTACAAGACACAGCGGTGGATGTTCCAAATCCCCGTGTTCGTCCACGTAGGTCATAGCCGAAACTCGTCCAACGTCCAATTCCGGCCGTGTTCTTTTTGTAAAGTGCCCGAAACCCTTAATACATCCACCAAGTCCATCAGTATCATGAATGAGAGAAACACCTTCAAAACGAAGGTACTTCAAGGCAACCGGGTCATGACTGGAATCTCAGGGCAACCTCTTCAACACCGTTCGTCGCCGCCCCCGGCCGTTCGGCGAACCAAAGCTACGTCCGACGTCCAGACCGTCCCAAAAAGCAGCCGAGCGGGCTGGGTTTGTTGAACGAACCGTGCTGGGCTCAAGCATCCTGATTTCAAGCATCCTGGGTTCAAGCATGCAGCTTGCCATGGGACCAGACATTTAACACCTTCCAACCAAATAAACATCCAACTCCTTCAGGATACACCTCACCAGACCCCAAAAATCCAAAATCAGAGTGGTCCCGTCGACCCAAACCCCCCGCGCTTCCCTCCCACCGCACCCGCCGTCGAACCCGCCCCTCGCATCATCGGATGGTCGAAGGCTCGAGCTCAAAGACCATGGCGATGGACTCTGACGGGACGGTCGCCTGGATGGACGGTCGCCGGGCCGAAGGGCGAAAGAGGGATGCCCCCAGAGTCCATCTCCGCGTCGGGGGCGAACGACTCCGGGGTTCGGGGCGGGGCGAACGCAGATCATAGGATCTCTTAATTGCAGGACCCGACGACAAACAGGTCACGAATGGTTCGACCAGGTCAACAGGGTCCAACTACCCTCAACTAGCAGCCTGGCCGAGCGAGGGTGCTGGTATAGTTTGAGACTGAACTGTGTCAATGGTGCCTTCTAAATGTATTGGGATATTGATATGATATGAGATCAACATCTCCGCTATTCGGAATTTCCAGGAACCCTCGAAACGTCGGTGTCCTTCGCGTTGCCAGTTGCTTTGCCCAGTCTAGGGCGGTCCCAAGGCCGCAGCGGAGTGTTGCTGAAATCGTGGCCATTTGGGGGAGGTATGTATACCTGGACCCTTCTTCCTGTATTCACGGGACCTCGGTGTGTGGTTGAACCCGCTGTGAACCCGCAAACGCGTTGAAAAACCGGTGACTGGTCGGTTCACCGGACTGAGCTCGGCTTCGAAAAGCCACCGAATTCTTGGAAGGTTCCTGGTAGATGTGTGTGTAGGCGCCAGCATGCGTGGATGTTGTGGATGGCCATGGCGCGTTCGTCTTGCGATGTTTCGGAAGACGAAGGTACCGAGGGGTAGCCCGGGTCGGTCTGTGCTGAAGGTTCTTTTTCAAGGGACGTACGCTGTCTGAGGTCGGAACTGCGACACTCACTGGAAGGTCCATGGCATATTTGCTGCCCAAGCTTGCTCATCCAGGGGTCACAAGACGGGGTGGGATTTTAGTCCCATCCAGTGAGTGGAGTAGCTGGGCACTCCTATCCTCCAAGTTCGGCACCCCGACATGTGACTCCTGGATGAAGGACACATTACGTTGGAGAGTTGGAGCACGAACGAGAGAGGAAGATGGCCAGTCCCCGCAGATGTCCAGCTGTTCCTATACTTCCTATACCAGACGCTCTAAACTCACTGCCCGACTGGTCCTTCAAAACGGATGGGATGAGACCTGCGGACCCCTTCATATGAAGGTCCAACCCCCGAGGTTTTATGGTTTATCTATGTTTATCTCTGGCCCTTCATGTCTCCGATCCATTCACAGCTCCCACAAATGACCCACCGAACTTGCTGACCCACCTGATGCAAACTGCTGGCCGACCTCCGCACCACTTCAATTCCATCAGATAGGGGGGGTGATGAAGTTGGGTCGGTGTAGTTCAGTGTCAGAAAATCCAGCGTTGATCCGGGCCCAGCCTTCACTTCCAGCCAAATGGCCTGCACCTGAAGCAGGCCAACTCACGATCTGGACCATGTTTTTTGGGGTGCAAGAGGGCCACATCGAGTCGCCAACAAGGCCAGGTCACAGGAAGGCGCTGCGCGCGGTCTGCTAGCAAGTGCTCCTACCCTAAGGATCCGCACCCGAAACAAAACTCAGGGTTTTGAGGGTAACACAAATAACATGTACAAACCCTTGAAAAAACTAGAGGCTTCGACCCCGACCGCCATGGAGGCTTCCGGACTCGGACTCGGACTACTCGAACCTCCCCCGGCTCGGGCGCTCTTCGGCTCGGTCGGACCTCCTGAGCTTGGCTCCCCCTCCTAAGCAGCGAGCTAGGAGTGAACGATCCGTACCGAATCACCACGCTGGCTTCGAACCCGTTCCGAATCACCACGCCCCGGATAGATCGATAGGCACCGAGGTTTAGGGTTGAGGGTCGGGGTTTAGGGAAGAAGTTGGGGGAGCCTCAAGTGCGGTTTTGGACCTGGGGGTCCTGGGTCTTGCAAAACGACTCCCGGACCACCTTGCAAAACGACGCGAAAGGCGACTCCTCTTCGAACAAAAACACGAGAAAACAGCGTCGAAGAAACGACCAGCTCGTCGCCGAAGAGAAGACCCAGACAACGACCGGATCCGGAGAAGGTCACGGGCGAGTCCGGGCTCTCTGTCGCTGGCGCCGGGCCGGCGCCGGGCCGGTGCACGCCTTGGGGCAGGTGCCGGACATGGTCAACTTGTTGGCTCCGTCCACGAAGTCCTGCTTAAAGCTCAACCACTCCGGCAAAGGATCACCTCGACCGACGCGGATGGTGGCGCCGTGGCGATGGCACCGGTGCGGTCCGGCCGGTCCGGTAAGGCATCACATCCAAATTCTCCAGACACTTCCGAGGTGATTTGAAATGAACTTCTGGAAAACAAGATCCTTCATATAATATGACTATATAACCTTCTCCTACTGTATAGCTCATAGACTCATATCATACTCAGGCTTTGCCTTGTGCAAGCTAGTAGTTAGAAGAGGAACACTCGGCAAGTGGTCGACCCCAACGTTGAATCTCTGCGAAAAGGATGCACCACCCGTCGGAAACGTCGGAAAGATGGTGTTCTTCTTTTCTTCGATTGTGATGACCCTTCTGACGTCCCGGGATTCAGACCATGAAATCCATGCTGGGCCCCGAATGGGCCTTAGGGTATCCTCGGACCGGTTCGAGGACCGGTCTGACGATCTTCATGCCATGCAGCTGCCGCCTTCAACAAAGCAGTCGTTCAAAAAGGACCACGATGGGTGAAGTGGAGAAGTTACAGGGATAGATGAATCAAAGCCATTTCCAGGCATCACGCTTGCCAAAAAGTGCCAAAAAGGATCCCCTCAACCGAAAGCCCAGGTCACTCCTCGACCTTTGCCTACCCTAGCATATGCTGGGGTAGGCGTTGCATCCCAAGGAGCCGTGCTCAAGAGTGAAAGAGAAGTCAATCTTGTCGCCAATCCTCCAGTGGCTATGTCCACCTCACACTGTTGATCCGCATGAGCTGAGTCCAGGGTGACAGTCTCCACCCTCTTGGGTGTGTTTGTTGGACGAAAGGAGATGCCCGAAGTGGTCGCCCTGCTTGGGGTCTACTTGGGTCGATGACGACCCGAACCGAAGGGGGGGCCGGGGGAGCCGCCCGCGCGGGTCCTTCACCAGCCGCAAAGACATCAGCGGAAGAGACCAGCATCCGACTCTACAGGTGACCAACTGAAACCTGTATTCGGGCCCTGCCCTGCCCCCCCCATGTGATCTGAGGAAGAGTCGGGTGGTGATCTCGACCTTCCGGAGTCTTCCGGTCGACCAACCGGCCGGTCTAAACCGAAAACCCACAGCCGCACGGCCGACAGCGGTGACGAGAGGAGGCGCCGCGGGCCCCGGCCGCGGAACACGACCTCCCAGCTGGTCCGGTCCCACAGCTGAAGCGTCCGAGTTCAGGAGACCACCGACCTCTTCCTGGATCGTCACCAGTGACCGGTCACTTGATCCCCCTAGTAGGCTTGGGCTTGTTCGGTCACTTAGTATGGCTTGTAAGTTCGGTCAGATGGGAGGGAGCTCCAGTTCGTTCGGTCACGAACGGAAGGTCCTGGTTCAGGGGGGGGAACAAACCCATTTCCAGTTGGGCCAGTTCAGAGGCGCTACATGAACGAACGACGGAAGTGGATCGTCGACGGGGGCATGGGTGAGTTTCTTCCTGGAAGAGAGTCAAAGATCAAAAACTCTACCCAGGAGTCCAGTCGAAGGTTCTGACTCAGGGAGTACCTGTACTTCAGTGAGGAAAATATCGCCTATAGATGGACTTCCAGGGTTGTAACAGCCTGTTCATTGGGGATCCACGTACCTAGTGTTGAGTTCCATGTCCATGCTTGACCGGTCAAAACACTCAACAAGTCGAACTGAACCCAGTAGCATTTGGGGTGTGAAACGATCTCATGTGATGTTTGAGTGGAAGGATGGGAAGAGCTTCGTATGTTGCATCTTGCGTCTTCGCTTTGGAGGAACATGTGGACTCACGATCTCCCTTTTCTTTGGCGGTGGATGACCAGGCGACCGAGCGACCAGGCGACCGAGCCTGCAAAAAAAAACGCCTCTTCAGCCAAGCAACTCTCTGGATCTGCAAACCACGTCTTTGGAAGTACATGATCGAAGGGCTCATTCACGTTCTCCACCACTTTAGGGTATCGAGACACAACTGAAAGAGTCTGGGGTCCCGCATCACCGCTTCCTGAGCCAGCTTCATCTTCACTCTCGCTTCCACTTTCTGAGCCAGCTTCATCTTTGCTCTCGCTTCCACTTTCTGAGCCAGCTTCATCTTTGCTCTCGCTCCCTTCACCCGAACCTCGGCATGAAGGAAGCTCAGCAGTTGGTGAGAAAATCCACAGAGACTGCGCTTGAAGTCAACCGACTGCAGGGTGAGTGAGTGAGTTCCGGGCTCCGGGTTCACCTTTTTCCGGTACATCTTGAGTGGGGTGTGAAATTGAGGATATAATGGTTCTCCACTGAACTCACTCCTGGGTAGGAGGTCTTTAGACTCCTTTCGCCGCCGGCCGAACCTCCATTTGACCGGAACCCCACCGGAACCGTCAATCAACCCCTTCGGCCTCCGGGCCCCGAAGCACCGAGCTTGAACAAGCGGAAAAAACCGAAGCACCGAGCTGTTTCACTAGGGATTGTGTTTCACCAAAATCAGGATTTGGGCGGGGGTGCTTGATCTGCCAGGTAGTCTAGTCTGTTTTTGGGGGGGTGATCAAGGAAGGTATCCGGGTTTGGACCCACAGCCATTTTTTGTGGAAAACATGCAGTTGGCATACCCACAGGCTGTTTTCAGGTTGCAGACTGCCCAGGAAAAAAATGAATAAGTACAGAAAGTACAAAAACTTGGCTCCCAAAAAGTTGCATCTGCATGGTTCTACGGCCATCAACCTCTACAAAACACAATGTAATGTGCGCCAATCACACAAACTCAGCAACAACCAGGCCCACCCCTGCCTTCTGATCAGAACAACCAACAGGCTCCACCAGAGCCAGACCCAAACAATTCATGGGACTGGTGTGAGGCGAAACCAAAAGTGGCTTGGTCAACGTGCATCCATCTTCCAGCCCAACGTGCTTGCCTCCATGCTAGCGATGGCCTCCATGGGATTCAGGCCTTCACCGTGCCTGGCACCTCCAAGACCCTTACAACACGGAGTCCAGCCCCCTCATCCCGCACCTTCCGTGTCATCCATGTGGATGCGCAGCGGTGCCTTGTCCGTGAGTCCTCCGCTGCCGCTGCAGCTGTACTGACACCCCCCGATCAATGTAAGTATGTCAATGGCGGGTGACTGTCATCCACGGGGGTGACTTATGACTGTCATATTCACATGATTCTACAGTTACTCCCTGAAGACTCGAATTTGCTCAATGTCCAAAGGGTGATTTATACCCCTAGAAGTCCAGGGATAGACTCTATGTTGACCGACTGGCTTGGGTGTTTCACCGATGGACAATTCCTAAAAATTCACACCAGTCAGACCCGTCTTTTTCAAGAATCGACTGGACTCCCAAGGGTCTCAAGCTTTGCCCCCCAAAGACATGCTCAGACCCAACGGCGCAGACGTTGGCCGGCGCAGCTTGGCAGGCGTTGGAGCCACCCTGAAGTCTAGGCGTCGGTCATTGTGCTGCAGCGACAAACTAAGCAAAGAGACTCAGAGGTTCTTCAGGAGCCGAATCACTTCGACCAGTTCTGGTACCCATCATGTTCTCTTCTTCAGGTCCCTGACCACGGTCAGTAGCCCCAAAAACCCCACCTCCGCATGAAAGCCGGGTGAACTTATGGGGTGAACCGGTCCGTCCGATCTCAGATGCGAACCAGGACGGTGACCACGGGGGTCAGAGCTCATGGTGCCCCTACCTCCACCTCCACGAGCCCAGGATGGGACTCAAGAGCACTGCTTTGTGACTGGGAGAAGTGGAGGTTCTCCACTTCTCCATGATGGACATCTTCGGATTTGTACGGCCGGTGACTCCATCTTCTTCCACGTGAGGAACCAGTGACTTAGCTGGGGACGCACCTGATCCGCACCACTCGGTCCAACAGCACGGTGCTCTGACCGCTGCGCGGCACGGACCGTGCTGGCAAGGCCACCGCTCCAAAAGAAGGTCCAAAGCTTCTTGGCAATAAGAGCAACCCATACATCTTGGGCCAAAACACAACCCATATCTATCATGGAGGAGAAAGTCTTTTACACATGGTACGAAAAATCGTCTCCCCGTCTGGGTCTCCTCATGTTGGTTTTTATTGAAAAGAAACACGCACACAAGAAACGAACCAAAGCACGGCTCGGCGTCCTAGCTTGTTCTTGGCCACAATCTCCAGATCTACGACTCCCTTCTGCGGCGCAGTGCCTGGTCAGCAGGGTCGCAGTTTGTGCCCAGAAAAAGGCAGGGACCGCCGAGTTTGTGAGGCCCACCGAGAAATGCCCCAAGACATCCCAAGACGTGTATAGAAACGGAACAAGTGATACAGTGATACAGATCAAGGTTGGTATCGACAAGGTATCAACTATAGATCGTGATACATCACGATCTATTTTACCACTGTATAATACATCGGTATCCAAGAGTCCCACTGCCGCTTCAAAAGGGTTGGTCCATCCTCTCTTTTTCTGGGAAAAAGAGGTGAAAGAATCTCATACCAGCACCCTCCAACAGGTCTCCTTTGGAGGGTTGTTAGGCCCTAACAGGTTTCAATTGGTGACCTGTTGGAGGGTGCTGGTATATGCTTCTTCTCTCAAAAACATCAGGCTCAGAGGCTCATCGGCTTCCGAATCAGAGAGCTTTGTTCAGGCCTCCGTGTAGGAAACCTACGAGTCATACGCAGTCGAGTCGAGTTTTCGCGTCGAGTAGTTCGCTCCCTTCCGCTCCATTCCAAACCGACCGCAACATGTTCTCGGAGCAGAATGGAACTTGGGATGCGGTGGAAAATGGAGCGGAAGGACCAAGAAGTACCAGGTCAAAGAAGCGATTTGAACCGAAAGTCAGGGGTCAAGACCTGTCCACCACCGGGTCACTGAAGATAAAGTCTAACCCTTCGAGTTCAGAGTCGACTGGACTCCGGTACACTCCCGAAAACCCACGACCCTGACAGACCAAGGCCCTTGGGTCCGATTTCTTTTCCGCTGAGCTGCAGCAGTGGTTTTCAGCCATGGGATGGTCTTTCAGGGTCTATGTTTTCCCTGGAAGTCAAGTCGACCATGTTTTGAAATGGGAATGATCTGTTTTTGTAGTGTAAGAACCTTAGTAAAACAATGGTGGTTCGGTAAAGGCTATTAGAACAATGGTGGGTCGACTTCCATCGTTTTGGTCGTTTGGTTGTTGATTTTTTGCTTCTTCGGGCGAAGGTCTATCTGCGCGGGTGTGTACGTGGGAGGTCGTTTGCTTTCTTTTGCCCGGTTTGGCATGTTGGGCACCTCGAAGGATGGTGACTTGAGCTGTGGGAGAGCCAGTGGTTTGAGGAGATCTAAGACTGTAGCTGGCGAGGCTCGAAGCTGCTGACATGAGGCTAGAGGCCTAGTTTGGTTTTCCAAAACTACATGACCGCAAGCCCCCAAAGCTTAGGGAGCCTTTCCATTCGCAACATGCCTTTCGTCAAGTGAAACTCTGCCATGAATTGCACTCCAACCAACTAAGTGACCTCTCAAAAAACCCACCATACGAACGAAGGGGGTAGGAGAAATAAGCACCAAAAAAACACCCCAAAAAACATCGCCTTGGAGTCAAAGGCTGTTTCAAGAATGGTCCATGAGTCTGAGTCGCACTTCCTGACTCCTTCGACCGCCCCCCCAGGACGGGTGGGGAACCCAACCCCCAACCCGCGCCTGTCAAGGTCTTCCCGTCGAAGGACAACCAGCTGGGAAGCCCCGAGGCCTGCAGCTTCAAGCCACCTGCAGGGGCGATCGAAACGGGCGATCAGCGCGATCCGTGAGACGGACTGAGACGGACTTCGGCGCACGAGAGTTGGTGAACTGGAACTGGTGGGGGTTGGAGGCGACGCGTCCAAGGGGAACGCCGTAATCCGGGAACGACCCGCCTAGTAGCGAACAACGGGGGAACTGACCTGGTGTTTGTAGTGTAAAGATGGTGAGTTGGTTCGGGATGATCCGCCTATTACATTCCATGGTGGGTCGGGAAGCCTAGGGGGAAGAGAAAGAAAAGGAAAGACTTGGAAAAGGGTTGATGACTATACCCTGGGAGTCCAAGACCGTCTTGACCATGGTCTGACTAGCTGACCTGAGTCAATCAAAATTCCTTTACTTCCGGGGGTGCCACATAGAGTCTATATAGACAGTGATATAATACCACCACCACCACCACCACCACCACCATCATCATCATGATCATCATTGTACCAGCCTTTGACCATCCGAAAACCTCATTGTAACAGCCTTGACCTTTGCTTTCAATTCCCAAAAAACAGCTCCAAGCCCAGCACCTATCCCAACCCACCCAACGCGCTCGAAGCGTCTCGAGCCGCGCCCCCGTCGAATGCTCCACGCAGCCGCAGTCACTCCAACGCATGTCGCGGCGCTCGAACCGGAGTCGGCGGGCCGAGCGGAAACGACCGAACGGAAGGATCGGGATCCGCTTCGGAGGCGGCAAAAACAAAGAACGGAAGCGGCGAGCCAAGGTCCACGGCCGTTTTGGGTGATAAAACCGGGCGGATTGGGACATAATAGGCTCAATCTAGTCCAAATGGACAGTTCGCGAGACTCCCCCCAAAACCGTCACGAGCGTCGTCTTTGGCCCTTTTTGTAAGGCCAAAGAGGTCGAGTTCGAGTTGGCAGAAGAAGGACTTCTTGGAGCAATTGACGACCACTCTGAAAACTGGTCAATTGCGCGAAGCGTGGCGGTTGCTCATATAACATCAGAATGGGTCTGTGGCCATTTCTGAAGAGGTGTCCTCCCGTTCATGTCTGCGATGTTCTTCGCAAAAAGGGTGAAGCCTCAGGAGTTACCGAGAGCCGAAGCTCCGGACATTCGCCCAAACCTGGAAAAGGAAAAAAGATGAAAAAAGGACAAACAGATCTACCTAATAGCTTCTTGTTACTACTAGTAAGGCACCTGTTACTACTAGGGTGGCACTTGTTCCTAGCTTCTGGATCTACCTGGACCCGAAAAGTCGCAGGTCTCCATCATGGTGGCTTTGGTAGACTGAAAAGGGCGTCGCAGGTGACCACCTTGGCCGTCGGGTCCTGGTACCTGGAACCCAAACAGGTGAAACACCTGTGTTTCCAACCGTGCGTGTGCGGTGCCGGGTCGGTTCACCACTGGACTGAGCTCGGCTTCTAAGTACCCACCGAAGTCTTCTTGGAAGGGTCCTGGCAACATCGCCCAGAGGGTGTAAGACAATCACACCGTGTCACCGCGAAACAAACAAACCGGTCGGATTTTTCGGGCAAGATCTCATCCACCTGCCAACCACCTCGACGAAAGTGGATCTTGCTTCTCGTTCGAGCTAATTGAAAAAGGTGGATCTTCTAAATACTAAGTGAAAACATGGGGATGATCCTTGAATCTTCAATTCGTCTCCATCCACCCCCAAAACTCCCAGGGAGTGTTTGCCGGAGACGAATCCCACGAAGAAGACCAAACCGCCGCGCGGAACCTTCCACCGCCTGCCTCCATGGTGATCCACAAAGGTGGTCGCGGGAATGGTGTATTCGAAGGGATAACCTGATGTTGGACCATCTTACACCGCCCTGGGAAGGGAAACACCACTTCCACGACCTCCCTGCGATCCTGGTCCATCCTGGCTCCGTGAGTCCGAGAACGATCAGACCACCGGACGGAGGGATCACCTGAAGGGAAAAAGAGTTGGACCGGACCGCCCAGAGCGGGCAAAAGACACCAAAACAACGCCCAGAATCCGGGTCTTGGTCCGTGAACGAGAACGATCAGGTTTGGGTAGGGTTGGTAGATCCCTGATAGTAAAACATGGGTTGTTTGGGATGACCCGGCGATGAAATCAATGGTGCGCCACGAGCTTCGTTCGTGACCGCACCCTTCAATGTCCTGGTTTGATGTAGGTCTGATGACTGAACCTTCCTGCACTTGACTAGGAAAAAGTATCGAACATAGGCACTTCTAGGACTTTGCAGGAAAATGAGGTCTTCATTGATGATATACAACCTCTTGTTTCAGTCCCCAAGTTGTTTGAAACCCAGAAAACCCAGCGATGTGACTGGGAGGACTGCGATGTGACTGTTCTTCTGAGCCAACAGACCCACCGGCGCGTGACCATCAGGTAAGGATGCAGCAGTCACCACATCCTAACGCCGGGCGATGGCCCGGGCCAGGCGCGGGAGGAAACACACCGTCGTTCTTCGGGGAAAGGGAGGCGGCCAAAAGAGGGTCATGGTCGTCCTTGTGTCCTTTTCGCCGACGACGCGAAGGGGGGCGATGAAGTAGGTAGGAGAGGAGACGTCATGGTCGTCCAGGCAGGTCTTGCAGGACCCCTGGTTTGGTCCGGGAACCATCAAAAAGATGGGAACGACCTGGTGTAGTGTAAAATCCTTAGTAAAACTACGGACGTTCTTCGGGATTCACATCATTCAAATTCATGATTAAGCCGTGCCGGCTTTGGGAGGCTACACCACCAGACTTCGAAGCTCCCACCGTTTTTAGGACATGAGACACAACACGACACATGGTGGTTTTCGACTGTTGTTCGACCCCGCCGAGTCGCTTCAGAAAGAATCCCTTCGAAGTGGAAGACTCAAAAAGTTTCCGGAGACTCGAAGAATGGAAAAAGAAAAACAGATAAAAAAAATAACACACACTGGACCGTGGAACAAAACTCCGGGCAAATGACTTGTTGAGCGACTGTCAGAGGTTTACTGGGACAGACCCAACTTCAGTTCGACCATTGAAAGGAAGGCCCGAAGAGTTTTTGTCACGTGATATCCTTAGTGAAACAAAGGCAAACCTGTGCACGATCTGCAAGGGGGGTCAAGATATTCCCACTAGGGGCGATCCTCATCCTATTTGGTAACCCTACAAGTCCAAAGGCCAAGTTTAACCTGGTCCTTGACTTCATTGAGTACTGGCTTTGCATGACCGGATCCAGTCAAATGAGGTCTTTGACCTGTAGGGTATAACATCAATGATGGTTCTCACGCAGACGCGTGCGGTTTTCACGACTGTGCGGCCTACCGCGGTCTATCGATCACCTCGGAAAGAGATGCGGCCAGACCACCCAGCACCACCCAAAAACCGGGTGGTTTCCAGACCCCCTCTACTATGAATTCTTGCATCCAACAACCACCCGAAATGGGTGGGGCTGGTGCTTGACCTGCTCGGTTTCATGCCCAGAACAGCGCGATCAGCCCAGCGGAAGAAGCCACAAAGAAACGCTGCATAGAATCCACTCACGGACGCCCCGGCAGTTGGCCGCGTGTGCTGCGCACCCGGACGCCGGGTAGCAGCAAACGCAGATGTCAGAAGGACAATATGCCTGTAAAGACCCATGGGAACCAGGTCCACATGCAACCTGGTTTTTTTACCGCTGGTGCCATGGACTCCCCGGGTCCACTGTCCACGTGACGTCAGGAGTGTATGACGAAATGATCATTGATCATCTGACAGAAATGAGTTCATTGAGAAGCGTCTTGGTATGGCCCTGTTCCTCTCCAACAAATGTCAGATGGGTTCTAGACCAGGACCCTCCAAGGGGTGTCCAATGGACTTCCCCCACACTATCTATAGGCTTCCATTGGGCACCCCTTGGAGGGTCCTGGGACATTTGTCTTTATGTGCTATCTTTGGTAGTACACCTGTACGCAATTCAGATCCTCAAAGACCGCCGTCCTGCCCTGCACTGTCCGACATTTCCCTGCACTGTCACGCCAAGTGTCCATCTGCTGTTGGAGAACGGGCTGCGCCGCCGCCTGCACCGCCACCGGCTTAGAACTGCTCGCAGCAGACCCGCTGCCCACGCTCGCACTGCTGGGTTTCTCCACCACGGTGACATGCAAGGGGACGCTGGTCGAGAGGCCATTGGCATTGGTGGCCTTGACCTGGTGACACTGCGGAGGTGGGAGGAGAGAGGAGTGAAGGAGTTTGAGAAGGAACAAGGAATTGAAGAGGGTTTCAGTAGACCGTTCAGAAGGTCGAGGTTCCGGAAGGGTCTCAAGGGGACCTTTTATGCCATTTTCATGCGCTTGCGCAAGCAGCGCAAGCGCATGCGAGGTTGCCTTTGCATCGGATGAAAAGAGGTCGTATTCACAGCTCGTGCGGGTGATCCTTGCACTTTTAGTACGGCGGACTCACCATTCACCCCCCATCAACTAGGGATCATGAAGGTGTAGGCATTAGATTTTGGGGTGCTGTTGGGTCGGGCATTTTTGCACGGCTGGGGCTTTTTGCATGGATGAAAAGCATTGATCATTGAAAAAGACGTCAATCTAGCGTGCTTGTGTTGTTCTTGATAGTCACCGACACCCACTTAGAACATTTTTTGGATTATTCGACATAGTGACAGACAACCAGTTACACTCTATATTTATCTATATTTATCTATATGTGTGCTAAGTATGCTTTACAATGATGTTCGAAGTCATGTAGAAGTTCCAAGAAACGGAATCGATCATGCTCTATTAAGACAAAGACTAAGAACATGGCTATGATCTCAGTTATCAGCCTCGGATATTCTAAAACCTAACTGGCTATTCATAAAGGGGAGATCTTGGAAACAGGTTTTAAGTGAAACTGTCCGTCACTATACAGTAGTTTCACACACACCTACCACAAACATGTGATGAGATCTCGGTCAAAGAATCGCCGTTCAGCGCTTCAGCCGGAACAGTCTGAGCGCGGCGAAATCCCCCGGACTCTACGGTTCGGGGGCAGAAAGTTCTGCCGCCTGTTCTGGGCGTCAAGTCATGTGCATGTGTCTTAAGTAATTAAGATAGAGGGGATTCCCAAACCTGATGTGTCTTTTACATTGCAGAATCCCATGAGCCGAGCTAGAACGAGTAGTGACTTCGCGTTTGGTTGAAGAAGAAAACAGGTCTCTTGGGACAGAGATCTCATGGGCCGTTTTTTTGGGGCACTTCATGCAGCTGTTGGACGTGCCAGAAGCCTATAGACTAGCCGAAAAGCATCCAAAAGGTCTCCTATACTTCCGAAGACTTCCATTTTGCAGGACCGACAAAGGAGCACATGCCTACTTCCCTTCAGAACACTCCTCTCTCCCGGTCTGTCCTCGAGGTTCAACTCTGAGGGTGCGGTGGGTGCCCCATTGAGCTTCAGGCCATCGAAGGTGAGCCAGGCTGGTAAGGGCTTCACGGACAAGGTCAGCTGACCACCCGTGGGATCCACGAAGGAACCCTTGGGCACCTCGTAGCTGAAGAGGTCACCTGGATCAGGATCCCAAAAAGGAAAAACCAAACGACGCTGGCTGCGACGCTGCTTGTAAGCTGGCTGGAGGCTTGCTGGATCCATTTGCGAAAAGGCCCGAAACGAAGCCACGAAGCCGCCGATAAAGAGCGAAAAGGCGGGGATTCGGAGCTTCCAGGTGGAGCCAGGAAAAGTGCTGTGTGCCTGGACCCGACTTCACAGGTGCTTCCTGGTGACAACAGGTGCCCAGGTTCACCACCTGTTTAGGCTTCTAAACCACCTGTTGGAAAGTCCTGGTGTGTATGTGTGTACCAGGACATTCCCAAATCCCTTTGAAAAGGATTGGGTCGTGAAGGTCACTACGGACCTGTTCGTGACCTCAGCCACCTGTTCTATCTCCAGTTCGGTCGGATTTGTTGGGGCTCGTGGTATGTGTCTTCTTGTCTTCCTTTGTTTCACCCTAGGGCTCCTGGCCCATCTCCTCAGGTTCGGTGGTTAGGCCCCCCTGGCACCCACCCCAACCACCGAAACTGAGGAGGTGGCCAGGAGCCCTTTTGGGTCATCTCCTCTGTTTCATCTCCGGTGCCACTACGAACCGGATGCTCAGCTCGAGGTGCTGCGTGTGTGTCGTCACGCGGGAAACCGCGCGTGTGGTTGGAACGGTTCTCCCGTCAGCATTCACCATACGGCCGCGTGGTGGATGGCTGGTCTCCGGCCACCGGTCACCGGTCGAAGCGGGGCAACCGCTCAACGAGCTTTCACCAACCCACCATACGGCCGGGCCGTTTTACGCGGGGGGGTCAGGTCCCCAGGTCGATTCGAAGCGACCCGAAAGGCAGGCTCAGGACGGTCATGGACCTACCGAAGATGAACCGAATATACCAGGACCATCCTGTCGGGGTGTCCTGGCTGGACTACCCCACACTACCTATAGGCTTCCATTGGGCACCCCTTGGATGGTCCAGGTATAGTCTGCGAGACATGGTCTTTGGGGCTCTGGGTTTTGACTCACAGCCATCTTTCACCAGAAAACCAGACGCGTCAGGGAGACCTGTCACTTCTATTGACTAGGGTTTGTCAAGCAAGCACCTGGGACCCCCTGGGACCCTTGTCTCAACCCGAAAAGAAAGATGTTCCCACATGGCACGAATCCGATGCATGAAAAGTGTGACTGTGACTGGGACCCTGGGACCCTTGACTCTCCACCCTCCACCCAGGATCCATAGGTGAATCAAGCAGTCCAACAAAACGGGGTATGAATCTCCCAGAATCAACCAAAGGCGCATTTAACAAAGAACTCGGTTACAACAAAGAACCAACAAAAGAACGTGAGTCAATTCTTATAAGTTGAGGACAACTTTCCACCAAGGTGTTGTAAGTGTCCTCAAGAGAGGTAGTTTTCCCTCGCCCCACCAAAGGTGCCGACTCTTTAGACTTAAGACTTGGAGTTCCCAAACTTCCCCCCACCAGATTCCCCAACCATCGCTTCGCTTGGAATGACTCGTCCATTTGGAGAACATGGCCGGAGTCGAGTTGGACTGTACCTTTTGCTGTTTCAGGCCCTAGGGATCCAAGTACCGAACCTCAGCAGGTGATGTGTTCGACACTGAGACATGTAGGTGCCTGGGTCGGGTCCAGTCGTACCGAACCTGAGGTTCGGTACGACTGGATCCCTAGGGAGGACATACCAAAACGTCCAAAACGTCAACCCGAACTCCTTCGACTCACGACCCGATCCCCTCCTCTTCACGTCGCTGGACTTGCTTCGAACGTCGAACGCGCGGAGGGGCGGAACTGGTCGGGGTGAAGGTGGAAGGATCCCATTGGCGGAACTGGTTGGCGCGTTCCGCCCGACAGGTCGACTCCCATGGACTACATGATGTACTCTGTGAAGCTTTGAGTCAGCCATCAGCCCCCCAAGACAACCGCCCCTTGACTCAAGTGTGCTCTTCGTCCATTTCTCCAAAACACAACACCAAAGGAAAACGACCTTCGCCGCTTAACGTCGCTGCCCCTACGTACTGTAACGTCCTGCCAAATCACCCACCTTTCCTGAAGCATCGGGCAAGGCTGAGGCAGTCGGTCCAGTCTTCGATTGAATGTCTGCCGTGTCCAACAAACTCTTGGCCCCCTCTTTCGCATCGCCATCGCCCACGTTGATGCGCAGGGGAACACTCTGCGAGCGTCCTGCAATGGATAGCGAGCGACATGGATGAAGCACAAAAATGGTGAACTCACAGAGAACCACAAGGTGAGGCAAGTTGTGTGAAGCATGTGGAAGAGTCGGTATGGGCCACATTAACAGTTGAGATCCCAGATCCTAGAATAGTTAAAAACACATCCTTGTCTCGGTGTGTAGGGATTCACAATCCAGTGCTTGCCTTCTATTGGGATTGGTGGCCCTTGCCATCCAAAGTCTTGGTTCTCACAGATCAATGAAGACCAACTGCTGGTTGGGATCTTTAATATCTTTGCGAAGTCAAGGCATAAAATGAAACTCATGTCCAGTTGAAGCACTCATTCGTGCGGCGAGTGCAGGCCGGATCCCATCCCCGGCTCAACTGAAAGCTTGCCACTCTCCACTCACTGAAAGCTGGCCCAGCTGGCGGTCCTACATTGTTGGTGGCCTTCACTTGCAACTGGATCTCTCCCTGTTCCAGCGGGATGCCGCGCAAGACTTGCCCATCGAAGGTGAGCCAGGCGGGCAAAGGCGAGGCGCTCAACATCAAACTGGAGCCGCTGGAGTCGGTGAACGTGTTGGGTGGCACCTCGTAGCTGAAGCTCTCACCTGAGGATCACAGCTACCCTCAAGAAAGCATTTTTCAAAGGATTGGCTCAACAAATAAGTGGGTGGAGCGGAGGGTGCTTGGCTGAAATGGGCGGAAACTCCAGAACCTTTCTTTGAGATGCTTCGTCCAGCCATGGGTCCAACCAAGAGATCGTAACGATGGGTGGAGCGGAAAACGATGGACAGCTTCAGTTCCCTTGGCTGAAGAGCCCAAAATTGGTCCTCCACCCAACGAAACCAGTGAAACCAACTGATAAACACTGAAACCTTTTTGGCCTTGGTCCTCCAAATCAATCTTTCCAAACCACCTGAAAACCACCTTTTTCATGTCAACGTCGCCCCGAGCCCTTCACCCAGCATCTCCCAACTATCACCTTCCAACAGGTCTCTGAACTGGAGGCTACAGAAGAAAAAGTAATCATTGTGGTCCCCAAATACATAGAAACGGTGTCCAGTACATTTTTTGTGGGGGATTTACTTTTCTATCTGTTTGGGGGTTCTGTAGAATCTCCTCTCAGAGCTTTTCACATCGACTCAACTACCAGCAGCCTCCATTTGAGGTGATATTTATCTATAATACTTAGCCTCTTAGAGTCTTAGAGGTGATTGGATTCGGGGCGTCCAAAACATCCCAGTGGCCCACGTGCCCCTGGCCATCCGGCAGCTCGGACGCCACCAGCGTGCCCGAGCGATCGGCCACCGGCGTGGCCGCCGTCAAGGCCGCCTGGGAAGGCCTCGTTCCGGTGAAAAGGACGTGGCGCATGGGCGACGAAAACAGAAGTTTGGATGTGCCTCAAAGACCTGACTCTTCCAACTATATGCCATATGTGCCGAATTTCTGCCTGTTCATTTGTGTGTGTGTGTGTGTGTGTCACCTCCTGTCCCCAAGGAGAACGACCACATCCTAGGTAGATTTCCACCTTTAACTGAGACCATGTACAGACCCGCACCTGAAGCAGAGATAGGGCAGGTGCCAACGAAAACACCTATCTCTTGCTTGTGATATCGACGGGAGACGTCCTGTCGACGTACCTGTTGACAAGCTGTTTACCATCCTTTTCTGTGAAGGGCTAGTGAGCCTTTGTTCCAACAAGACTGTTGTCGCGGACTCCTTCGCCTTTCCGTTCCCTCAGCCAAGGTCTACTTGCAGTAACACTGGAGTTCACAAACTGATATAGCTCTTGCAAGCATGGATTAATCAGTGTGTTCGAAGGACCGCCTGCCCTCCATTCATACCGACCTCCGATCTCAACGAAAACCCGCCTCACTTGGTCGACCACCTCCAGGTTGAACCGCACGATGTCCTCAACGTTCGCAGGCCGAACACCGCCGAGCTCGCCCAGCTCGCCGTGGCACCGCCGTCGACGTGAACGGCGCCGAAGTGGCATGGGGGGGGCTGGTGGTGATGGGTGGTGGCGACCCTTCTCACACCAAATGTGCACTCCAGCACCGGTTCCCAAACGAACAGACTTCACTCCAGCACCATCACAGGGCCTAAATCGTCCTTCGGTGTTCTCCAAACCGGGGGGGGCTTTCCTGAAGGTGTTTTTCCCACGGCCCGGGTATACCCTCCGGTCTCGCATTGGGTGGCTTTTTCCCCGAGAAGGAGAAGAAAGGAGTCGTCCGTGTTGAAACACGGGCCGCCAGCCCAGTGGCCCAGACTCGTCCCTGATCATCGATGGTCTGGATCTTGAGCTTGCTTGTTCCAAGCTCCGGAGGAGTGCCTCACCCGGGGCGGACTCGCCACTGGGAGCAGGTCATTTGGCGGAGAGCGAGCCAGGGAGGAAAAAGAGGAGTGAAGGTGGGGCAGAGGATTGAAATGCCCTTGTCTATGGCAAGTCCAAGAACTCTTCCTGTTCTTCCAGGGTTTTGAGTCACTCAAACAAGGTGAATGCCGATACATAAGGTGACTTGGTTTGTGCGATGGCTCAAATCCCTGATTCCCCACAGAAATATCAACAAACCACATTTGCCAATGATTGAGGCACCTTCGTCGTCCAAAATCATCGTTGGAGGCACCTTCGTCCTACAAATTCATCGCATCAGCCAATGAAAGGACCTCTTGATGAAGAAGTGTCAAACACCTTCCGAGAAAAAAGACTGCAAACCTTCGATGGATCCACCACACCCCAAAAAAAGAATTGCACTTGGAAGTCCATCAAAGCTTGCAAAACATATCCAGGTCCAGTTTGGTTTCTTGCTGTGATGTCTTCACTGCTTAGCGACTGTTTAGCTGCACGACCGTCTATCATCAAAACGATCCCATGCAACGAACGAGAAGACGATGTGCTACGTCTTCTGGCTCCACGATGTGGAAAATGAGAACGGCAGCACCAAACGCACCAAAACGCACCAGAGGAAAGAAAAAAGTGAGGCTTGGGCAGGGCCCTCTCAGGGCCCTCACGGGTCGTCCGGGTCCGTCCGTGCGGCTCGGACGACGAGCCGGGTCCGCGGGGTTGGGAGTCGCGCCGCGCCAGACGAGCGCAGACGGCACAAACACGGACCGGAGGACAGGTGGGACGCAGTTGTTGGATTTTCTGAACGGTTCTGGTTTTTGGGGGGCAAACACTTATCACATCGGGACGGTTGCTTCTTGGCCGGTCCCTTGCTGCCAATCTCGGACCGCGCGCGGACCGTTCAGGGCACATGCCTGCTGCAAATGCCACTGCTTCCAGACCTGCTTAGACCTGCTTAGACCTGATGCATCTTCCTGCCCTTGGGTGCTTCCATTGTACCTTCTTCCAGTAGAGACACACAGCACCCAACTACCTGCGACCCCGTTTTGATTCCCTAAGAAACAGTTGTTTGCAGTGTGTTTACTTAAAGGCACGCGTAGTCTATCTGAAAGCTGCGGCCCTTTTTGACAGACACTCAATGCTTTGCATTGAAAGAATTGGAGAAAAAGAAAGGAGACGTTGGTTGGCGATAAGCAGGTGATTTTTGGAAGAAGTCTGCAAACGAGAAGACTTTTGCAAAAATGAATGCCGTTTAAAGAAGAATAGTTGAAAGCACTTTATCAAGAAAATCTGACACACAGTATAGATTCGTGTACTCAACATAGAACATCTGTCAAATGATGATAATATGTTGGACAAAAAACAGGACCCTTACAAAAAGAAACATGAATGCCACTGCTCCACAACAGCCTCCACATCCTGCCCACAACTAGTAACACTCATTGGTACCCTATGTTCCGAAACACCTCAACAAAAGCTTTTCAACGCAGGCCCCTCCAGCCCCTCCAAGAACTCATAGTTGTCAGAGTCTTGGAAGACTGACAAGAACAAAAGAAAAGAAAGACTGACAAGAGTCTTGCCCTTCTCTGACCCATCAGGGTGTGAAAAAAACTTCATGGGGGCATCGGGCCAATCTCCGAAACAGGGCGAGCTGGCGGCAGCCAGCTCGCTAGCTCTTGAAGCTCTGTGGACCGGTCTGCCTGTCTGCCCAAACAGTGCCAGGACATGTGTCTGCAACATGATTTGCATTTGAAGACACGGAGTCCCCAACCATTTTACTCAGTGTCTTCGGAGGAAAGAACTCTCGCGCATAAATATTCCTGCCACCCCTCGCCCCTCGATATCCTCAGTCTTGTCATTCCCTAGGGATTGGAGACATCGCTATGTAGGTTTGGATGGTCCAAGTACCCTGTGAGGTTCGGTACGACTGGATCCCTATAGTCCCGGGATTTGGGTCAACCGGCCTGTCACCACCTTCCCGATTTCGCGTGAAAGGCTCCGCAAAGCCGTGGAGTTCACCTCGAACCCGGAATCCACGCCTCTGGCCCCCCGTCTCCCCCCTGGTGCCTGACAAGTAGAAGGGCTCCGCATCTCCGAAGTTGGACCTCGTGGCGGCGCACGTGACCGGGCGGATGAGGGCGGATGGACCTCGGGCCTGGGAAGCTGAGTCGCGGAGCGCCCTATTGGGCGCCAGTCCGATGGCGCCCGAACGAAGCTCTGCTTGACGATCCAAGATGTTTGCCCCAACAAAAACAATCCTATTGATATGCAGTTGCTTGGTATCTCCGTGACGAAACACCTCCCAAGCCGATGAGCACGTCCAACTGGAACCGGCCAACCGCCCGGCGTACCTTTGACTGCCCTGCCAAGTCGCTTGTCGGATTCCTTCAAGCTCATCCAAGAGGGCAGCGGGTCTCCTCGAAGCTGCCAGAGGCAAAGGGCATGGAGGTATAAGTATAGTGGACACGGCAGCACCAGCTGCGGGTTTGATTCGGACTCTTGTTCATCCTCATTCCAATCCTAAGAGTCTAAATCCACTGGATGCTCTTTTCTTTTTTTCTTGTTTGAGGATCTTTTGCGGACCGTGTTCAATGAGGTAGCCGTTCTGAAGTGCAGGCCACCATGTCCCTTCAGCACCAGCTCCAACTTCTAGATCACCCCAGATCACCCCACTCATGTGCAATCGAAATCAGATCGATTTCACAAAAAAAATATAAGGAAACATGTGGAGCTCCTTTAAGCCACTGGATCTATGATGGTTGCTTCATTGCGTGATTGATTGGTTCGTTGATTGATATACATTGGGTCTATCCCACTATCCCATGACCAGTAACAGTGGATGATGATGGTTAGTACAGGCCTTTCTCTAAAATAGTCATGTTCTTGTCTACCGACGACTCTACAGTTACGGATTTAGTGGGACAGACCCAAGATATACAAAACTTCAGCAACCGTTAATTTACAGTACTACTGTTTGCTCCAATCCTTCCTGATTGACTCTTGCAAGGCGAGAATTCCATGTTCACTTTGATTGTACTCACCTGAAAACGTGGGGAAAGGCGCGCTCCGGGTTGATCAGCGACTGGTCAACGAGTGAGGTGTCAGCCAAAGTTTGTTTTCCAGTGAACAAGCAAACTTGCTGAAGCAAATCCACCAATCCAACTTCATGTGGGCCTCGACTTGATTCCTTGCATCCAAAAAAACGGCCTTTGGCCTGCATACAGAGACCCCAGCCCCAGCAGCCCCTGCATCCACAAAAAAAGAACCTCAAAAAGATCTTCTTTCGCCCCTCCTGACTCCAGGGTCGCACTGGTGGTAAGCTTCGTGTTGGCGTCCGTGGTCACCTCGGGCGACGGTCACCGGTCATTTGGGGCGATCCGTGTCACGCTGTGTCCGGTGTCCACCCTGCATCGAACGGAGAGAATCGGGTTTGGGTAGTTGACTGCACAAGGTTTCAGTCTGACGCATACGGCTTCAGTTCTGGTCTTTCTCAGAACAGTTCTGGTCTTAGTCTTAGCCTTAACGAGAATTCTGGGGTCCAACCGCGCTCTGAATGCGCTCTGAATCAAAAAGAGGAAAGCACCAGACATCGATCTGCTTCCTTACAGCAGTTCCAGGCAAACCACGTAACCACTTCAAATTTTGAGTGGCGAGCCAAATCCGGTTGTGCATCTCAAAAAAGCAAGGTTACCTATAATTACCTGTCATAGTATATTACTTAAGGCTTATATATATACCTAGAACCCATTTGACCTCTGTTTTGATAGGAAAAGACCATATTTTGGGTGGTTGGTGGTCCAAAATAGAGGTCACTCAGGTTCTAGGTATATATATATATATATGCCAGCTTTCGTATGCAGCAGAATGCTTTCTCGTCACTGTCCAAACGTTCGCAGTCTCCGTTGGTTCCCCCATCGCCGGCTGAAGACCCTCAACCCGCTCCCTCATCTGCTTCGCCAGGTCGCAGCGACCTTCAATGGCAGCTGAAACGGCTCGTTCACCGGAATCGTCTCGTCCTGGCGTGGGCGTTGGTCTCACCTGCTGCCCAACCTGACCAAACCTCGCCGAAATCGAAACCCCAAAGCTATCAACAGCCTTCTGCGCATCAACAGCCTCCCCAGCCATTTTCTGCCTCATTTCGACCCGCCTCAGACTCGAAAGGCCCACAAACATACCCACCCACCGACCTGTCGAGTAGGTCGAAGCCTTCTGCAGCGGGGACCGTCCTCCGCCTCGATCGAAACCACTCCGCTTCGATCGAAGCCCCCCCGGGTCCTCCGTCCTCCGGTCCGCAGGTCCCGAACACCCGGAGAGCCTGAAGCCGGAAGACCACGGCTTGACTGTCGTCGTCCGCTTCCTCCTGGTCCTCCTTGTCCTCCGTCCTGGACTGTCGGAGTCTTCCACGGTCGTCTGAGCATCCGAAGGGCACGCTCGACGTGAGGCGAGCACGGTCGAGCAGCGGGACGTGGAGGCTCGGAGGCTCGGAGGCTTTTGGAGCAGCAGGAGGGTCGACCAGGGTCAGGCCGATTCTGGACTGGGATGACTTGGGGTGCTTGTCTTCCCGAAGAGCTGAGATCCATGCAGTTTTAGGACATGTTGCAACTACAATCAACTACTTCACCTGTTGCCTCATTACTGGCCAAGGGACCACTACAGGTCTCTACTGCCTGGTTGCCGGCTCTTCACTGACAAACACCCCATGTGAGCCGAATCCCCTGCTGCCGCCGAACGAGGGCCCCTCTTGACTCAAAGGATCGATGCCCATGGAAAAAACCGAGATCAAACGTGGGGGGTGATAGCGTGACGTCGGCTCATCTGTCCAAGCCGCTCATGTGAAGCAGTGGAAATCGTGTTTTTTTGACCAAGAGTCTACATGAAGTGGACCCTTTACAGGCCTTTTTTGTGACCTCAAACATAAGGGATCAAGTTCGGTCACGACTGGAAGAACCAGGTTTGCACTGATGCAGAACGTATCTGTTGCAAAGCGCTGCTCCCCCCAAAGGATTCTCACTCGAGCGTCATGGAGGGTGGACATCATGAAGCTGCAAACAATGGTGGCAAGGAAACAAGACTTCTGACAATGGTCGCAAGGAATTGAAGCCAGCCAACGCTTCAGCGGTCCTGACCACCACCGGCTTCTCACAGCCCAAGCCCATCATATCGCAACAAAGCCTCGGGTGGAACGAGGCCAAAAAACGAAGAAAACATGACATGGCAAAGCCTCTCGAACATCTCCAGAAGATTGAAGAATGGACACCAAGATCATGACAATGTATCGTCAGCCTCTTTGCTTCACGACCTTGCTTCACAGAAACTGCCAGAAAACCATGAAGACGCAGCCCAAAACAGGCACGAAACCATGTGTCTCTTTTTCTCCGGTCGAAAGCCCCGACCGGCGGCGACCGGGTTTCGAACAACCGCTTCCCAACCGCACCGCTCTCAGCTGCCCGGCTGGCGCTTGGTGTCGGACCACTCCGAGGCTTGCGGCAAATCACGCAGGCATTCCTGCCCGAGCACCGGAGTCCGGACGGGAGAGGACCCGACCTCGAAACAGTCCGGGGTCCGGGCCCGGTTCCCAAAGCCTATGTGTTGGGAACCGGGTCCGGATTCTTGGGGTAGAAGCCAGAATGCTCCGTTCGTAGGCGATGCCAGGAGCCTTGTGCCTAGTAGCGTCCTGGTGCCTAGTAGCGATGCTCTTGGCTCCTAGTCGAAAACAACCACTGGATCCACTACCACTTTCTGAGAAGGTGATTCGAGACCAGTGCCCAGTCTGCCCAGTGATACCTTCGAAGGTGGTGGATCCAGAAGGGGGAAGGGTGGAGCTGCCGAACGCTTCGAACCGACTGGAGCCGCGGGCTCGGCCCGGCGGTGAGAGCGCCGAAGCCGTTCGGACGGCCGAGCATCCTAAGTGTGTGGACCTATTGGACGGACCATCTCCTGTTGGGCGCTGAATCGCGCGCTTACCCCCCACTTGCCCTCCGGTTTCCTTTTTCAGAACACACAGATGTGGTACGGCCTAGATAGACACGCAGGTTTTTGTTCACCATGTTCTTGATCCGTGGATGGTCCCATTCAGGAGATAGCTCAGCTAGTGGCGTTCTGGTTCCAACCCACGGATTAGTATACCAGCTTCAGAGGTTCTGTAGTCAAAGTTTGCAGGTCACGGTCCAAAGACTAGAATCAAAATGCAGAGTCTAGTTGCCAAAGCCCGTCGGGCGGATAGGCTGGCGTAATGATGGTCCCATCTTCGCTGTCACATGTCCGCTGTCAAATGACTTCTGGAGGTGCCCTTGGTCAAATGTTGCAGAAAAAATAACCCTTGTTACTAGTAGCTTCTAGTTACTAGTGGTAATGGCCTCCACCCTAGTAGCGATGTCCTCCACCCTAATAGCGATGGCCTCCACATATCTAGCTTCCTGCTACTAGTAGTAAGGCACAACATCTTCAAAAGGGTTTCTTTGGGGTCCCGGTCTAAAGTGGCACATCCAAGAAACTGATCAAAACGCTCCGAATGCTTTCTCTTCTCTTCCAAGTGCCGAAGGCAAAAGGCATGGGGGATTCGCCCCCCTTCACACCTGCCTGGAAACCCAGTCCCAAGCAGAAAGAGTTCTGGATGAAAATCACTGCTTGTCCCAACCACTTGGTATGTAGATCCTTTCAGCATTTCTAGTTGAGACTGGGAAACCCAGGTTCAAGTGTTCCGGCTGGCTGAGGCTTCAGCGACCAGCGCTGACTTTTCTCGCACGGCGTCGGGAAAAACAGACGCCGGTCAAACGCACTTTGGAGGTCAAGCGGGCTTGTGTTCTGGGGCTATTTGGAGGGTACCTGGCACCTGGCCGGAAATGGGCATCAAAAGCATCAAAAGCATGTTTTTCACAAACGTGCAGCAAAAACCCTCAACATGGGCCAGTCCTTTTTGGCATCCTGCATGGCCTTAGCTTCACTATTAGCGCAGGCTTCGCAAGCCGTTTCCCTGGAAGTCCATCCAACCCCGGGGCTGCCCACGTTGCCGGAACGCTTCGTTGCCCACGTTGGAGTGAGGTGGGGGGTGAGGTCGGGTACCCATTGGATCGGACGTACCAACAACGTGTACCAGGACCCTCCTGTCGGGGTGTCTATTAAGAGCCCAGCTGTGATTCGGGGTGTCCACTGACCACCCCTTTTTCAGTGTGCTGGTATGTTGTCCTTTCTATCCCTAGGGATCCGTTTTCGTACCGTTTTCGTCTCCGTTTGGTGAGGACGGAGATGACATGCAGGTGCCAGGAGGGTCCAGTCCCACCGAACCCAACAGGTTCGGTACGAAAACGGATCCCTAAGGGTCCTAGTGTTTCTCCTTCGTCTTCATTGTTTCTGTGTGTGCGTGTTCCTTTTTGTTCTGTTCCTGGTATAGACCGTTGCCCTCACTCTTACAAAAAAATTATAGAAGTCCAGCTCGATATGATGCCTCACTGAAGGAAAGGAAGGTGGTGGACTCAGAGCATGAAATCCATCAAAAGGACTGGGTTCCAGGTTCTTTGTAACCTCATCGTCCAGGTCTCGACTGACTGAACCTGCACCACCGAGCGCACCTCAGGTCTTTTGTAACGTCTCGGTTTTCCAGCCAAACAAAGTCTGAAACACCGGCCCATCCCAACAAAGGCGAACCCAAAACACAAATGAGGGCGAGATGGGGAGATGAGTCGCCTCTCCACATACCGTCTTCCATCTCATCCAGTCATACCGTCACACCCGGTCCACACCGTCCAGAGCCAGGCACCGCTTTGTCCGCTTTCTTCGCCGCCAGCTTGAAGACGGCCTTGGTTGCTCGGTCGGAATCCCAACTCGAAGAAGAGGGATCGTAGCTCGATGCCCAACCATTCGGTGATATATAATCACTGTACCAGGGCTCCAAGCAGCTTCTAAGAAGCTGTTTGGGGTGGGTGCCAGGAGGGTCCAGTCATACCGAACCTGAGGAGGTACGACTGGAGCCCTCCCACCGAGCACAATTGTTTGACCATAAGATTTTGATAGATTTTGCACTACAATCCCATGGTCGAACGGACTGCCGTTCGGCCGTCTCCAAAGGCTCTCTATGATCAGAACCCCACCGGGCAGTGTCCAAAACAAGCGATGGACACCCCGAATCACCTCTAAGGGGTGGACACCCCCGGGAAGAGCGCATCAGCTCTTGAGTCGTTTTGAGCGCATCAGCTCGCCCTTTGGTTCAAACCCTTTGGCCTTTGGTCGTTCGCCCGAGAAAGCGCCTTGGTACCGTGAAACGAACGCTGCGGCGCGAAAGCGCGAAAAGAAGCCCACAGCCCAACAACCGAACATCAGTTTGGCCACATCAAAAGCATGTTCAAACAAGGTCACGTACCGACGTACCTCTGATCATTCTTACTCATGTGATACCCCCCCAACTCCACCAGGCTGATCTCCAATAGAAGCAGTTCAGACATCACACCAATTGTCCTCCTCCCCTTGTTCAAGCCACTCACCCCCCCCAACCCAAACAGGGCAAACAGAACCCAGAACCCTCCATCCAACTCCATGAAACGCTCCGCTCTCGAGCGGACGAGCCCCACGGTCTGGACCGAGCGTCTTCCGTCTCTTTGGGCATGGAGCCCAGACTCCGGTCGTCCAGGACGGCGCCAGCCTGGGCGCCTCGGTCAGCGGGGAGGAGACCGGTACATCCAGATCGGTGTGGATGGTTTGGAATTCCGGAAGCTGAAGCTGAAAGTGGTTTTACTAAGCATTTGGACACGACCAAGTCACAAGTCGGTCCCCTTTTTGTGGGTCTTGGACCTTCCAGTGCATCCATATGGGCGTGTCATGGGAAATCCAGGAAATCCCCCCCTTTTTCGCCTTTGGCGGGTTGGACTGGTCTATGTTCCTTCTTCCTTGAGGTCTTTAAGAGGTCTCCCTATTGTAAGACACGTCCATATGACCGCGTTTGGTTGTTCACAACCGGGCTCCCCTCAATTGATCCGCCAGTAAAAGGCCCTCGGTGGGCAAGGCCCACACGTCCGCTGCTGTTTCGCCGCGGTTGGGCTCCTTTCTTGCTACGTGCACACCAGATCCGACTCCGAAAAAGGTCCAAGAATGAATGATGGACATGTGACTTTGTGTTTCAAACGCCTTGAAAGAACACCGTGAGGGCGGAATCCCTGGCGATGAAAGCGTTGGTCCATCCTGACGCGCTTTTCATGGGGGGGCCGCAGAGGGCAGCCCCACATGTCAACGAGGCCTCATCATGATGCCCCCCAAGTTACCCATCACCCCTGCTCTCTGCTCACTGAGGCTCCCCCACCAAGCAGGAAGGCGACCAACACTGACCACCATCGCATTGGCCCGCGCATGGTTGGCATGATTGGACAGGTCACACCCGCCAGCGGCTTCCGCCAGCTCAAGCCCCGAACGAACGGTGCCGAGCGGTGCATCTCACAACCCACCTCTTGGAGGGACCCACGTCGGACGGTGAAGGGGAGCGCCCCACTCGTTTGGGTGGTTGAAAACCCCAGTGGCTGCGGGTTTGGAAGGGAACGGAGCGCCTCAAAGACTGCTGTGGGTGCGGGAAAACCTAGAGGCGAACTCGAAAACGCGGAATCGTGGGAGATGTGTGAACATGGTAAACCCTTACCTAGTCCACAACCACGTTGACTCTTTCGATGGACTATCCGAAGTTCAACGAGATGTTCAGTGCGGCATCCATGGACAAACCTTCGTGATGTATGGCAACCACATCCCCGATGTGGCCATACCAAACCTTGTCTGCCAATAGGCTCGAGCTTCCATGGCGCTCCACTCCGAAAACCAAAACCCTCCTCTTCGTGTCGAACGTGCAGTTCAGGGGGACCTATTCACCGCAGTAGACGGAGCCGAACGTGCCGTGCCCGCCCGAACCACACTTTTTGCCCTTTTGGGTGAAGCCCGACGTCCTAAGTTTGTTCAGTGCTGGAGAAACAGCGCCGGCGTTCAGCGTTCGCATGGCCGCGTGGGCCGTCACCCCGAAGTGAAGATGATGTGAACGAAGGAGGCACCAAATCTTCAAGCGTCTTAGCTTCTTACTCTGTGAAGAAACACCAACCATTGACGGACCTTATGGAAAATCAATGCAACTGGAGGCCCCGGTAGCGATGATTCTCTTCGTTCTCACCTGACTGGTGGCCAAGATCAAGGTATAGCATCCTCTAAGATGGTCTTGTTGCCTTCAACTCGCTTCCCCTGAAGTCAGGTCAACCAAAGAGCCACGTTCGATGCTGTCTATGTTGCTCCCCAAACACTGCTTCACAGATGGTCCGGCTTCACGTCTGCCAAGCCCATTCATTCATCAACCCTCCACCTTGAAAGTCCTAATAGAGATTCAAAATTGAAGGAGTTTCTGGATGTTTCTGGTGCACCTTCCCTACTTTCTTTCGGATCTTTTAGCTGTACGTAGCTTCACCGCTTCAACTCTTCAAGTGTCCCCGAATACATCAATGGTCCAGACCTCTGGGGTCGGCCCTCAATGGCCCGAAGGCTTCCTCCGACTCAGGAGACGGTCACAAGACTTTTGTCGGGACCACTCTCCACGCTCCAGAGCCTTTTGGCTCTGGCCCCTGGATTTGCAAGCTGGTCCAAAAAATTCGATCAACCGTTTCAATGGTCTTTTCGTCCCAAAGAAGAAGCTGCTTTACGGATGTTTACACTACGCCACTGGTCGTTCCCATTCCTTTAATAGTCGAACGGGTCAATGGGTAAAGCAAGCTCTCTCCAACGCTCTGCCGCACCGGTCCGTCCAACGCTCTGGTCGTCCGGCGCTGACGGAGGCTAGTCCCAACTGATATAACCAGTTTTCAAAGATCCCTGGGAGTCCAAGACCAGAAAGACCGGAAAGTAGAACATGATCTTTAGGTGACCCGAAGACAGGCCTGACAAACCCTTAAACTTCGGTGGCAACGGTGAAGTAGTCGAGCTGGGACTTCGGAAGATGTTTACTCAGGATGATCTAACTATCTCTGTGTGGTAAGATGTGTCTCAATTGTCGCAGCAGTTGTGCAGCTCCTGTTCTCCTGAGTGCCTCCCTCAAGACGATCCTTCACATCGACTGGAGGGAGGCCTTTCCAGGAGTCATGCGACGCGTTCAATCTGCGACGCGAACCCTTCGCGCGACAAGGGACTGGGGGCCACTGACACGAATCTGATGCGAAGTGCACTTCGTTCAAGCCCTCTGAGTCGCTTCATGTTCTTTTTAATGGACGATTTCTGAATTGCTCTGACGACCGAGAATGTGGTCCAAATGAAAGAATCCAAGCCTGGCTCAAGCCACCAAAGATTCGGCAAAAGGATGTTGACTATATGAGCGGACAAAACTTCTTGGTGTCCCCACAATGCCAAAAGTATTTTAGGTTGGCCCCTATCGGTTTCCAGCGTCTTGGAATGCAGGCAATAAGCTACTTTCAATCAAGAAAGCGTATGGAAGTGTTGTCGGACGCTCATATATCAAGTGGACTAAGACCTTAATCAGGCGAGCAGTTCCCACCTGCTCCACCTGTACTCTTGGCAGCTGAGAACACACACAGTACTCTACGCAACGACAGCTGTACTCTCCAGATAATCCTCCTCCTTCGGCAAATCCAAGGTCTGGCAAGACAAACATCGGAGCTTTTTGGCATGGCATCGCCTGGCCTCGTCATGGAAAAACCTCTCATCTAACACACCAACCGCCTCTCCTCTTCCGATCCAGTCAGCAAGTCAGTCATTGTTTGAGGCAACTGTTTCGAGTCGTTGGTTATTCAGCAGATCCACACCACACTGTGTGATGCAAACATGGGAGGTTTCCATCTAAGACACCGTGAAAAAATCACACCAACGGGTGGGACTACTCGTTCCCAAGGAATGGGACGTTGGAGCCGCCCGCTCAGAAGGTTTCTGGGAGAAAGAATGGCACCAGAGATTCTGCACCCAAATGGCACCCGTTTTCCTTGGATCGACCCCTTTTCAACTGAAAGAAACCTCCACAACATGGCTGCAGTGACGGCTGAAATCGAAGCCCGTGGTCGTGGCAATGACATATATCACCTGTCTTGGAATGAGATCCTTTCGTGTCTGGGTCGAATTTCAGCACAAGACTGCAGAAGATGAGATACCAGAGCTTGATATACAGCCCTTTCTTCGGGGCACTAAACAAGAAACCTGTCTTGATCTTCGTGAACTGTGTCGCCCAATCGTTCCATGCCGAATTCCCTTCGAAACATCTATGTCCTCATCTCAATCTCAAAGAAAAACACTCAGACCCTAGGCTTCCTGGCCCACCATGAATTTCATAGGCTGAATCATCCCGAATCAACTCTACGGATTTTACACGACAAACACCAGCGTTTTTCGCATTTCATGGTCGAACCGCGGAAGTCTAGGGAGAGAGAGAGAGTCTCACGCTACGCGGACGTCTGGATCCCCACCGTCCGGGACCGTTCAGCGGTTCAGCGCTCAGTCCATGGGCAAGTGATGGATCCTCAGCACCGCGGTCGCGCTCGTTCCGGTCTCAGTGGCAGGGCCGTTGGGTTGGGCAGGGCCCACGACCGGTCTGATTCCGAAGTCTGCGAATCCATGCCCGGATCGAAAAACAGAGGGTGAACCCCTACCAACACGTCGTGGCCCACCATAGGTATTCCTTGAAAGAAATGAATCCCAAACAAGAAGGGTTTTTTCAAAGGAACAAGGGTTTTATTGTTAAAACCAACCCTTGTGAATCCAATCCCCGAGCAACCCTTGTTTTAAGAAGGGTTTTACACTGATCCACCATGACAAAGAAAATGGTCAAACAGACCAAACCAGGAGTTTGGGTCCGACCCCCACCGTGCTCCAATCGTGTTGAAATCAGTGGTGTAGTGTACCACATTCCTTGGTAAAACAGCTGGTTCTTTGGGATGAAAAGACCATGAAAACCATATGGTTGTTTGAAAACAAAAGGGGCAAAAAAGAAACCTGGGAGTTCCGTTCCATCGCCGAGAGGGTTCAGGTCGACCCGAACCGGACTCGGAACGCGACCGGACTCGTTCCGACTCCAGTGAGTCCGGTGAGTTCGGTGAGTTTCGGCGACCTGGACCAAGTCCGGAAGAAATGACCCACTGGAGTTGGGTGGTTTTCATGGACACCCCGAATCACCTCCTTGGCCCGGGGCTATCAAGTTCGACACCCCTGGCCCGGGTGTCCTGGAAAGTGGTCAAATCGAGTCGAGTTCTGGCTTCTATCTTTTGGGTGTTTGGTCACTGCTCGAGCAGCGAAAGACAAACACCGAGGCTGCACAAAAACGAAAGAGATCCACAAGTGATGTGATGAGAAATCAAAAGCGATCGGGTGACACCGCTTCTTGCTTCCTGCAAGTGTATGCATCCTCATGCATTTCACAGGAAACATGCTTATGGCATCTCACATGGTCCCATAAGGTACTATCACAGGTTAGGAACTCCCGGTCTCCATCCCAATGTTTGTGCATCCCAATTTGGAGGACTCCTGCATCAAACCACTCTGTCCAAACCCTGTACCGCGCTCCTCAAATTGAGCTGAAGCAACCCTCCCCAACGACCAAACCACCGAACAGCCACTGACACCAGAAAAGCCCCCCCCCAACCGATGAGCCGACCCCGCAGCCGCCAACTCAGATCTGACGGAGCCGAACCGTCTCATCGCGTTCACCGAACCGCGCGCGCGGGGCCAGGAGCCCCTAGGTAGCTTCTTCCTCCGAACGCCGGAACCGAACGCCGGAACCCTGATGTCGTGGGGAAGCCCTTCCCGCGCCGGCCCACCGCCCCAAGGGTCGCGGCGGCCCCAACAGCCCACCGCCCCGGGCCGACCCGCAGAACGGTCGGCCGCTCCGAGGGGCTCGTCCTCGGGCTCCGGTACGGCGGCACAGTCCGACGTGGTCGCCACGCCGGCGGCGGGGCCGTTGGTCAGCGCCGCCACCATGTCACTGATGTCGGCCGTGCAGAGCGCCTGGAAGGAAGCAGTGGTGGGTGGCCTGACATGTCGGGACCTCCGAACCACGGGTTCAACCCTGGAAGTCCGTTTGACCACCTTTTGAAGCCGATGGCACACATGCTGGTGCGTGTTTTTTAAACCCCCCGTTTGGGCAAAAGGATATGCTTCTGAACACGGGATGCCGATGACCTCGGTGCACACTTCTAGAACTTCTACATTCTACCCGACTCTACGGGTCTCCTGGCGGCTGGTGGCTGGAGACGATCCCAGACGTGCCAGGAACCTCTGGAGTTGGGTCACCGCCTAGGACTGGCAGATGAAACTGCATGCATGGACCCCAGGTCTGGCCCACTCCTGCCCTGGAATCGTGGGACTCAGTCCTGCCAGTCTCATGGATGAGTTTCACTCACTTTTGAAAAAGATTTAAAAAAACTGCTACCAGGAGTCACAAAGGGGTGCTTAATGGAGGTTAGTGGTGCCCAGAACATCCACTCACTTGGGGACTAAACGCCACCCGTTGTGAATTCCTGGTACCACAACTCCAAAGGTCTAGGGTTTCTCTCACTCTTGATCCAACTCCAAGGATCACTTCGCATGAGTACTCGGCGCCTTTTGGGGATGTCTCGCTTCTGGCCGGATCCACTGGACGACCCGAAGGACCCACCTCGTGACGAGCACAAACGGAAGGTTCTGGAAGAGTGGATCGATGGAAGAGTGGTTCCGGAACTCGCTCACTTGGTCCCCAACACTCATCAACTCCCCACTCATTAGGGGACTGTCTATAGAAAGCGGTTCTTTTGCCTCAAGACCCTCATCTTCAAGAAAACGAAGACACCCTGGAAGTCTTTCAAGACTACCCTGGGAGTCAAAGACTATCAAAAGAATGGTCTGACAGTCTGCATATCCCTATATAGAAGTCAAACCACCCTTTATTTAATAGCCTTTTCCGAACAACCATTGTTTTACTCGGGGTGAAAAACACGACAAAACCAGATCGTTCCCATCTCAAAAAATGGTCCATCTTGGACTTCCAGGTATCTCACCCCTGCAAAACGATGCCTTCCTTATCTCGCGCCTTCCTCGCGCCTTCCTCGGGCCCTCTCGAGATCGGGCCGTCTCGGGTCTGGGAAGGTCTCGGGTGTCTCTCTCCGCAGGAAATCGCCGCCTTCTGATTTCCCATCTTGGCACAGTCCGAGACCGCGAGCGCGGTAAACTGCGAGATCCACGCGAAGGAGGAGATGATGTTCCTCGAGCGGAAGCGAGCGATTAGCGTGAATTCGCACGTGCGAGCTCGCACATGAGAAGAGATATCAGGGTCCACGCAAAGGGTCATCGGTTCCCAAATGTTCCAAACAACACATCAAGCGAGAGGAGGAGGAAGAGGAGGAGGAGTTGTAGAAGAAGAAAACTGTTCAGGACAATGATCATGATGTCTTGAAAACCGCTTGGAAAACGGGCGCAGCCTGCTTTTTTTTTGAAAGCAAGTCCACGATGGGAATGAGTTGGAAGAGCAACTCTTGGTCGAAAATCGGTCGAAAGCAAGCCCCACACCAAACACCACCGAGTCGTCACCGAGTAGTCAGCCCGGTCGCCGGGTTCCGCCGTGGTTTCGACGTCCGACCGAGGTCCCAGTGGCATGATGTTGATGGCACAGGCCCGGGGCTGTGGGCACGACAAAGCCGCACTACGAAGCTGCAGAATCGCTCGGACCTCGAGGCCAAGCGTCCGTTTGGTGCTTCTTCCACTTTAGTCCACGAAAGCATGGTGCAAGCCAAAAAGGTGAGAAGATCTGCCAAAGGACTTCTTGTTAAAGGAGGCCTTCAAGAGTTTTTGCCATGAAACAACTCGAATCAACTCAGTGGCATTTTATGCCACCTTTTCCTGAATTGATGTTGTGTGTTGGGAAATTAATTTGGTGGTTCTTTCTGACCAAGACCAAGATCCAAGAAATTCTCTCTTCGTCTCGCAAGAAGAGCGCCCCCAAAATAGACCCCGTGATACCGCAAACCAATGCGAACGGTCCGCTCTTTGACTCCTCGCGGTCGCCCGTCCATTTGTCTCCCTCCCCGATCCCTAGACTTCAGTTCGACTATGTAAAATAGTTGACCTGGTTTTTGCAGTTCAAAATCCTTAGCAAAGCAACCTGCATCTTCCAACGACACAAAATGAATCCCTTTGGGCTGGCATTTATAGATTAAAAAGGCAAAAAAAGAAAAACAACAAGGTGCACAGTTGGAAGATCCAGGTTCCTGGTTCTTCCGGATTGTCAAACCTATCCTATCCAATGCTGGACCCCATTCCTGGTGAGTTCTTCCCATGGTGTTCGACGCGATGTTCGACGCGCTCGACGCGCTCCGAAGCGGCGATGTAGGATGCCGAGTTCGTCACGTCCATGACCTGGGTCGATGGGTCGACAGCGGTGGGGCAGCGGGAGCAGAGCTCGGGAGCTCTGAGAGGTCAGTCGAAGAGTTGGAACCTACTGGCACCGCACCCTGAAAGTCAAAGTACTAGTTGAAAAAGAAATGGTCTGGCGATGTCTCACGAGACACTCCAGTACCTCATGTGGGGAACTTCCGAAAAGCCTGCTTCACTTGGGCCAAATGATCGTCTTGACTCGACTTCTATTTAGGAGATCCAAATGACCAGCTAGCACCCTCCAACAGGTTTTTTTAATGATACGGCGACCACCGAGATCTACACCTACCAGGACCCTCCTGGCGATTCCGTTTGGCCATTGGGACCCCCTGATATCCTGCGGTGGTGAAGCCTCTTTAGGGATCCGTTTTCGCACCAAACCTCAGGTTCGGTACGACTGGACCCCACCCTGGCACCTACATGTCTCAGTGTCTCCGTCCTCACCAAACCGGAGATGAAAACGGTACCGACAACGGATCACCGCGCCGGGCCGGGCACCGGTCCAGGAGGGTGCAGGTATAGACCATGCATGGAAGAGACAATACACTGGTTGCTCAAATTGGACCCTTTGAGATCGCCGTGTAAGACCAACACGTGTTTTTTTTCGCCTCCGAGTTTGGCTTGATTTGGGAGAGCCGAAAAGGTGGGTGTCACGAACTGAAGAAGCTGGGCTTACTTTCACCCTAGCCTTCAGTTCGAACATTAAAATACTGGTTGACCTGGTTTTGTAGTGTCAAACCCTTAGTACAACAATGGTTCTTCTGGATAGCTGCCTCTCAGTACGTATGGTGCCTTGGAGTGCAAAGAAAAGCACCATAGGCTTCACAGGGCACCCTCGTCGCTGTTGCTGTCACTTCGCCAGCCGAAGTGACGGGTCCTCCGTCTCCGCCGGCCTTCGTCACCCACCATCCATCCGAATGGTGGGTGCCCTAATAGGTCGGGTCCGACCCCTGCCATGGAGAGCCCGTTCGGATTCTTAGGGTGAATTTGGAAGACCAAACCGTTAGGATTTTGTTCCGCCCTAAGGATCCGAGTCCGGACCCGGCGGTCGGGGTCTGTTCGCCTCTCTAGTTCACAAGGCCCTCAGGTGTTGGACCCTCAACCAAACCCTTGTTTGGGGTTTCACGGGTGCGGATCCGCAAGACATTTCGACCCTGAGAAACTCGACCGTCGACCATGAATCAGAATGGGTTGGGTCGGGACCTGAGCTCCGTTCTCCGGTCAGGACGAAGGTCACGGGACGCTACGCGGCGGACGCGGAAACGCCAGAGGGATCGGAATGGGGCAAGAACCCTCATGTCCATCCAGGAAAAAATATGTTTAAAAATACAAAACAACACAAAACAAAACATGGATTGAAAAGAGATTGAACAAAGAACCTCAAAGAACTATGGCAAACGTGCACCCAAAAAAAGAGCTCTCGCCGGCGGCATCCTGGCGCCTGTAAACTGTAAAGCCTCCCACTAGGTCCATTTCCGAAGCACAAAATACGGGCTCAAGGGACACATTGTGTAATGTCAAAGTTCCGGTCTCGGTTCACTTCATCGAAGTTCTTCCACTTGATCCTCGGCCGCGCGGCCGCGCCGCGCCGCGCCGCGTGGCATCCGTACTTCGACGTTCCCAGGAACTGGCTGAAAAGCTGGCAGCTGGCTCCAAACACTCAACGGCACGGCACAAGCACGTCTCTCTCTCTCTCTCTCGGATGTCCAAAACATCTCAGTCTCAGCACAACACATTCAAAGACACATCGACCCGACTTCACAGGCCTTTCCTCTAGGCTTCTAAGACATCAACGTCCTGGTACAAGAGTGGTGAAGGCGTATCCCTCATTCCCTCATTACCACCGGCCACTTCTAAGTCTTCAGCCACCAGCCATCGGAGACCAGAGTCAGGTTCTGGGATAGACACTGTTTCATCTGGCCTTTGAAGCACCAAAAATCCAGTGCCACCCTCCGTCAAGTACGCCCAAGAAGGAGAACACCACCTGGCCCCCCGGGATACCGAAGCTTCACACAAAGGAAGAAAAAGAACTGTGGATCCAGTTCGGGGCAACCAGCTAACCACGGCGAATGAACAGAATGGATTACTAAGGACCCTGAAAGTCCAAGATCAAATTTTAAGAAATGGTCCAACAAATCTGAGTACCTGATGTCGGGAAGTTCTTGAATCCTCAAAACTGAAACCAAAATGATCGTCTACACTCAACCTCTAGGGAGGTTCCTACCCGGCCGTACCCTGGCTTCAGGTTTTGACCCACAGCCACATGGACCAACCCAAACACCGCCAAACACCCCTCCTCTCCTTCCTTGGTCCTCCACATGAGACACCACACCCACCACGCCGCCACCAGGGTCGCTCTGGGGTTTGACTCACAGCTTTTATGGGTGTGTGTGTGTGTGTAACCCTTGGAATCATAGGGATCCTTTCGGATTGTTTTAGCTTCACAGTTGTTTTCCTTGTGCAGCAGGGGCGTGTGGCACTCTCGTCCTACCACACGCAATGAAGCTGTGGGCGAGAGTGGGAAGGGAAACTTGGCCAGTTTCCTGTACCTGCTGTGATAATTACTCCAATCTCCGGGCCCTGCTTGTACCTAAAACAAGAAATCCAGCCTTTGCACCGGTTTGCTCTCGGCAGTCACGCATAGGGCTTTGGTTTCGGACGACGTCACTCTGTCGCTCGGTCGTTCGACGGTTCCTTTAGAGTTGATGGCCACGCTGAACTTGATGGACCTCCACTTCCTTTTCAGGTTTCCTTACCTGTACTCTTAGGAATTGGAACCCTAGGCCGGCGTGTGGCACCGCTTTCAGTTCAGTACACCCTATCCTAAGTGTGTTTGGCCTCGTGCCAACCCGGGATGAGCCCGCAGAGTGCCTCCCGTGGACCCGTCGAACGGGTGTATGTCCAACGTATCCCCTGCCCGGATACAGAGCAGCTCGCAGCGAGCGTAGGTGGCCTAGGCCGTACGTACGATGATTTTGTCCCATCTTTGGAATTCCAAGTTGGCTCATGCCTTTACGTGACCGCAGCGGTCTAAGCAGCCAGCCGCTTCGGCAGGGCACAAGGTGACCACAGCGGTCAAAGTATTTTTGAGGTTCTTTGGAACCTGTTGGGACCTTAGCCCCCTTCTCCCCCTTCCCTTCCCCCTTTCTTTCTTTGCTTCCTGAGGTTTTCAACACTCAGGATCACCCCTCTCTTTCTTTGGTGTGTCCCTGGACGCTTGTTCGTAGCTGGGAACACCTGCCTTTTTCTTTTTTCTCTCCTCTCCCTTTCTCTCCCTCTCTCTTTCTTTCCTTCTCTCTCTCCTTCCTCCCTCCTTGGGTGTCCCTGGATGCTTTTGTCATAGCTGGGAACCTTCTCCTCTCTTCCTTTGGTGTGTCCTTGGACGCATGCGTCGTAGCTGGGAACACCTTCCTTTCTTTTCTCTCCTTTTTCTCGTCTCTCCCTACCCCTCCCTCTTGTCGGCACCTTAGCTCGGGATGCTACTAGGGGCTCCTGGCCTTCCTACTAGGTGTTAGGTGTTTCTTTGACGCTACTAGAGGTTCCTGGCCTTACCACTACTTGGGGACGAAGAGTCTCACACCACCTATGGCGCGGAGCTTAAAAATCTTGCCTCCCCTCGGGGAGGCGTGTGTGTGTAACCCTTGGAATCATAGGGATCCTTTCGGATTGCTTTAGCTTCACAGTTGTTTTCCTTGTGCAGCAGGGGCGTGTGGCACTCTCGTCCTACCACACGCAATGAAGCTGTGGGCGAGAGTGGGAAGGGAAACTTGATAATTACTCCAATCTCCGGGCCCTGCTTGTACCTAAAACAAGAAATCCAGCCTTTGCACCGGTTTGCTCTCGGCAGTCACGCATAGGGCTTTGGTTTCGGACGACGTCACTCTGTCGCTCGGTCGTTCGACGGTTCCTTTAGAGTTGATGGCCACGCTGAACTTGATGGACCTCCACTTCCTTTTCAGGTTTCCTTACCTGTACTCTTAGGAATTGGAACCCTAGGCCGGCGTGTGGCACCGCTTTCAGTTCAGTACACCCTATCCTAAGTGTGTGTGTGTGTGTGTGTGTTTCAATAGGAGACTGGTCCAGTTCCCTTCAAACCCTCAAAGCTCGGAACGCTTTTGAAGACCGACCCCCCCCAGGAAGACGGAGACCGCTATACACACACCCATATAGGCCTAGATACCTGTCAGTGGCCTGATCCCCAAGCTGATCCGGGGCCCCACCCAGTGGCTTGTCAAGTTGCAATGCTTCGCCATGCGCTTCCTCCAACTGGCTGTGGAAGCCCAACCTCTGGCGTTCTTAGAACGTGACCAACAGCTGTTGACCAGTGGTCAGGAGTGGAGCTGAACACTGCAAAAGATGAAATTCCTTATTTGGGACCCATGATTTTCAGTGATCCTGAACTAGAGGAACGATAAAATATTGCATCCCAGAACAATCTCTCTTGAATCATCTCCCCTGTTCTCTTGAAACCGCCGAAAATGCTCCCAAAGTCTATCTATAAGGATCTGTAGCTTGTTTGCGGAAGTCTGGTTATATATATAACCACTAACCACTCAGAAAGACAGCGAACCATTCAACTTTGACCCCACCGAAGCTTCCTAATCGTTTTTTCCGGAGACATCCAAGTCCTTTGCACCACCATCGAGAAGAGCGTCTCTAAAGAGTGTAAAGGTAGACCAGGTAGACCTGGTGTTGTTTTCCGAAAATCCTTCGGAAAAAAGAAATAGTAATTAATAAGGATGGTTGACATCTTCCGGTGACCTGGTTCGAATCCGACCGGAGCGACCAACTCCGTCTCTCGGTCGGCAGCGTTGCGCCAACCCCACCAGCCATTGGATTTCGAGGCAGACAACCTGGCAACGGGCCGCCCGCCACCAGAAACTGATGCAAACCAGGAGGCCAGTACTCATGAGGGGGCACGTCCACATCCTTCTCCCCGCGAAAGATCTTCAGCCAGTCCTGGGGTTCGCCGAAGTGGTGTTCTCGAGACACACGCCGCACCGGACATGGTGCATGGCGCTGAGCTGCACCGCTCACGCCGTGGTGCACGAAAGACTTGCTTTCGGCTTGCAAGTTGGTCAGGGATCAAGGGATCAATGGGAAAATTCGCTGTTTTCGTGCAGGAAGTCTTCTGAAACCATGGTGGTTCACTTGAAGCATTCAGTTCGACTTCTATAGAGACTTGGAGGGGCGTTTTTTGTCTTCAGTCCACATGTCTTGAGACGTGGGACCCACATGTTCTTCTCTGAATGATATCGGACATCCAAGGAAGCATGACACCATTCTTGGATCTGGTCTATACCTATAGACTACTATAGAGTCTACCAGGTTAGGTATCTTGTCCATTATGTGCAGAAAACCCCCCTCTTTTCTCCGAGGAAACGAAAGACTCGTCTACCTCCTACAGAGACTTCTTGCGAAGAGGTCCAGTCCAACCGATCCGACTCTGAAACACCCACTGTCCACCCATGGTGCTGACTCCGGAGCTTCCTGAAAAGCCAGCCGACCACTGCCCCAACGACCACGTGGTGCAAAGCTTTAGAAGGTGGACATCAGACCGCCCCCAAACACCTTCCTTCGCACCTCACGGGGCAGTCGGTCCGCCCCCCCGCGGCCACCTCTCCCAGGTGTCCGTCGTCCCGCCACCGTAAGCCGCCGCCCTTTTCGGTCCTTGCCGAAGTCGCAGTCCTCCTTCACCGCGGCGCCCACCGTCGCCATCTCGCCGAAGTTCGCCACCAGCGCCGTCCAGTCGCCCGCCTCAATCGCGTCTCAGGAGGCGGAGAGACGAGGCGGAGGGTCCGATAGGGTGGGGCGTCTCAGGGGAGGGTCCGCTCGGGTGGGGCGAAGAAAGCGAGGAGCGGTTTGGGTCGGTTTTGGTGAACAGAGAATGGTCGGCGTTTGAAAGACCCAGTTCCTGGGTCTGTGAAACATGAAGTGATTCTTGCCAAACGTGCTCTTTTCGATCCAAAAGAAGTGTCTTATAGTTCTCTGAAGCCCTTTCTGCCATAGACCCACATACTACCAGACTATACCAGCCTAACAGGTGGTGAACCTTGGCACCTGTTGTCACCAGGAAACACCTGTTGGAGGTCCAGGTATAGTATAATCAAGAATTCCGAGGTGGTTGGAGGCCTCTTGTGTCGTTGGTCGTGTAAAAACTCTGAGAGATTGGTATACCGATCTCTTCGTCGCCGGATTTCTGCAGTACAGCGGCACAGAGCGCATCGGGCTTAACGGCATCACCGCAGGCGGACGCCGCAAAGGAGAGGTAGGATGCGATCCTCATGGCTTTTTTCCGCGCTTTCCGCGCAGGACACTGCGGAGAAAGACGCTCTCATGTGAACGATTCCAACCTGAAGACATTGCGCTGGACCTGGTTCTTCCCGCCCTTTTAGATCCCATTAGATCCCCAAAAGGTCACCAGATGGGACTCCAGCTCGTGAGTCCGGTCACAAACGGGCGTGGAACCCGTAGCGGAAAGCAGGAGAGCGGGCTCCGGTCGCAAGGGCTTAGCAGGAATGCAAAGACTGGGGATGTCTTCCTTGGAAGGTGGGTGACGGTGTCTAAGCAGTTCTTGCATGGACCCTGGAAGAATCTTGGTCTTCCCAAGTGATTTTGACAGGCCAAACCTTGAGAAACGAAGAACATCATTGGAAGACGTTCAAATCCTTCCTACGTGGAGACTTGTTCGTCTTTTCGCCTTATAGCCCCTTCCTCACACACGGTCCTGACCCAAAAAAGTCACCCGTTTTGCCATCGATCACTGTTCTTGCGGATCGAGTCTCCAAGAGACAGAGGTAATGAAGCCTGCCACACTGGCAGCACATCCTGCGAGCACCATCGGCCCATCCGCCCGTCCGCCGGCCATTCGGTGAAGCGGGCGAGTTGGGAGGAGAAGTGCGGAGGCGGTTCGTTTTCAGCCCTCGGACCACTGGAGCGAACAAGGTAGCTTTCAGCAGCTAGGCTGCTAGACAAAAAAGAGATGCCAAGTGCCAGCAGTCTACTTCAGATTTGAGATCGCTGTGCTACCCTGTTTGATTGATGGTGTCTGGGGACCAGCAGCCACAAAAAGTGGTGTTTGATAGTGGGCTCCACCAATCAGAATGCTGGATTTGAACCTGCCGAACTACGACTTTCACCTCCTTTTCATGTGGGGGGACGTGTCCCTTTCGTTTGCACACTCCTGGGTCGACCTCGGCGGCTCCGAGGGGGGGACAACCCCGCGCGCCACGCACCGATCGGGGCCGGAGCACCTCGGAACTCACCTCTGGCCATGCCGAATTCCCTCCGTTCCTTCCACCGTGTTCGTTCGAGTTCCACCGTGGACCGCCCTGGGTCTCCGTTCACCACCGAACGGGGAACGAAGCATGGACCCATCTACAGCCCCAGTGATGGGCCATGGTGGAGTTCGGTGACGTACCGTACCAAGCGGTGAGGCCAAGCACGCTGAACCCCCTAGGCCTTCCAAGAGTATGTGAAAAGAATGGTGGGAGCCTCCACTGAGCTGTTTCGTGCCAAATCCTGAGCAAAGCCATGTTTGCTTCGGGATTCAGACCGTTCCAATCAATGGGGCCCAGAAAAAAAAGATTAAAAAAACAACTTACCGTAAGAACCCCTCAGTGTGCCCACACTGTTTGGGGAACAAAACCACGATGCTCCGAATCCTACCGTGTCGGACAAGAACCAACCGGGCTCCAGAAGGGCTGTCGTCGGGGCATCGGACTCCATCGTAGTCAATAGCCTGGCGACGTGAACTGTGGCGGCTTTCGAGTTCGCCCCCACAGGCGTGAGGCGGTGGAAGTCAGTCGGCCGAGCTGGAGGCAAAGGTCGAGTCACAAAAGAAGCCAGCATCGATCGAGGTAGGACAGGTAGGACAAAAGAGAGCGGAACGGTTTTCATCCGGCTGCTTTTGGAAGCACTGCCCATCCGTGAGATTGCCACATCGAGGCGAGATAGGGAGGGATCCAAAACCACGCACGCGTCGGCTCTATGGTCTTGTTTGAGCTTTCTTGGAACAAGGCTGGCTGGATCCTGGGTGAAAACGTCCATGAAACCCCCACGCAGCTGACAGCATGTCAATGCCGAGTGTTATCGGTCTGCCTCCCCAAGAAACAAAAATGGGGTCGTCTTGCCCTGCATGCACTTGCTGGCCGGACAAGCAAACATCCTTCAACACCTCTACTTGTGGCCATACTTCTGAACGCGATTGGCTGAACAAAAGAAACGTAAAGGTACTGACTCGCTTGACTCGGCTTAACTCAGCTGATGGACCGACAAGAAATCTTCCTTGGACTTTGGCAGAGTGAAGATCCCAAATGATCCCCAGTGAAGATCCCAATACCTGGACCCTCCAACAGGTGCTTCCTGGTGACAACAGGTGCCCAGAAACCACCTGTTAGGCTTCTAAAACCACCTGTTGGAAGGTCCTGGTATGAATGATTGCAGCGATTTTTCATGTATATATGAGTGGAGAATTGAGTCCTCAAGGGACCTCAAGCCTCAAGTGTTGATGTGATGGCGTTGTTCTCCGATCGGGGGACGCACGGAGCACTTTGACAAAAAACGAAACAGCCTTTTGCAGGTGATGAGCCACGGTCCCTGCATTGAAACACGGTCCCTGCGCCAGGTGCCCAATCCTTCATCTTCTCTAACTTCCACGCAGGACGAAGGTGGCAAACCAGGGAGCCCCCGGTTCGTCACGCCATCACCGTTCCTCGAAGTGGTCTTCCCTTCGGTCCCAAGCCGTGAACCGCGGTGCAACCCGGTGTGGTCCACGCCTTGTACAAAAAGACCACGGCCTGGCCCAAATACGCCGCAGCTTGCACCACGTCGATGACGCACTCCGTCCGGATCCAGGGCACCTCCTCCGGCTGCGAGTGGTAGAACAAGTCGTTCAGATGCCCTCGGCGCGTGTCGGGCGCTTTCGCCATCGGCCGCCGGCCGAGTCCGTGGTCGGACGCCCCCACGGCGGACGGGGACGAGGACGGCGGGAAGCTCCAGGTCTGGCAAGGTGAGGTCGATACACTGTAATGGATGGAGAAAATCAATACCAGCACCTCCAACAGGTCACCAATTGAAACCTGTTAGGGCCTAACAACCCTCCATGTCGGAGACCTGTTGGAAGGTGCTGGTAGATCCAGAGCAGATGATGTGAGATATGATATGAAGAAATGTGTCCTTTGATGTATGGCCTGTCATATGTGCAAAGCTCTGGTGCAAAGTGAGACATTCAGGTCCTTTCGGTTGGTTCTAGGTGGATGATGCTGGATGCAAAGCCCGGCATCGCAGCCCTCTTACCCTCACTTCTTTCTGGCCAACATCAACTGGACGCTGCGACCGCAGACGTGACTTGCGTTGCAAGTGGCACTTCAGTTCTTCTGACCCTGTCTGACTCACGTTCGGAAGTGGATGCGAGAAACGGCCGCCGGATCCACTTTCCATCCATGTGAGAAAAGAACTCGGAGTGGTACCCAAGGACCCTTCTGACTCCATCCATTGCCAGATCTGCGATCCAACCATCCGCCCTCGCCCCCACCACCATGGCGATGTGGAGCAAAACCGGGAGGATCCCGGAAGAAAATCCCACCGAACATGTTGACGTGAAAGATCCCGACCTACGGCAGGTCCTACCAGACTAGACTCGAGTGACTAGAGCTCTGCCATCCTCCCATCCTCCCGTCCGCCGCCACGTTATCCGCCGTCATCGGCGCCACAGGGCTCAAAGGTTGCTTCAGCTCCAAGCCCTTGGCCTCGGTGATGACCTGATCGATGCCTGCGGCAGGGCTGTCGATGGGAGAAAAATGGTGGACCGGGGGGGTGGTGCGTTTTCATGAAGAGAAAGACATGGTGTAAAAAAAGGGGAGGTCAACAAACAAATAACAACAGGAATGTGTACCAACACCGAACCCCTGCCAGGTCTCCTTTCCATGGGAGGGTTGGGCAGGGCCCTAACAGCAGGTTTCAAGAACGGTGACCTGGCAGAGTCGTCGGTGCTGATAGGCATAGTCATAGTCATAGTATGATCCGAGTCGTCTAAGACGGTCCAAAATTCTTCTCTTGCCGGCCTAGGTCTCCCCGTCTCTCTCCCTGGTGCCTGGAATGTTCTCCCAAGTTTCCATCGTGTCCTCGAAACTGGACCTCTTCCTCTTGTTCCTCTCCCTGAGTGGAGACCTGCACCGGAAAAATCGCCACGCGAGACGAGACGGACCACACAGCACCGGTCCGTCGGCGACCGCACCGCGGGAGGTGAGGAGCAAACCGCGCGGTGCATGACCAGGTGTTCGGAGGTGTTCGGAGGTGTTGATGTGCATGGCGAGTTACCCCGGAGGATCCGAGTCCGGACCCTCCATGGCCAGGGGTCGAACCCTCTATAACAAGGGTTTGGGGCCCCGAACCAAACCCTTGTTTTTGAGGGTGCGGATCCTTAGGGTAGGTGAGTGGATGTGCCGGTGTTCAGTTGTGGCTTTCTTCTTTTTGAACGACCGAGGGGGTCACACGAAAAAACGTCTGACTCGGCTCCTGTTGACTCAGAGTCTACTTGGTTTGACTCAAATGACTCAAACTTAGACCGAAAATCATTCCGACTATGCAGAGGGTCTCTTGTTTTCATTCATGCAACCAGCAAAACTGGAGGTTTTGGGGACAGATGATGTTGCTTTCGGATCTCCATGTGCACATTGGATGACACCATTTGCTCCCGGAAGCTCACTCCCAAAAAGCGAAAGTGTTCAACTCTCTGGACCAACGAAAAAAGGAATCCTCCACCCATGAGGCTTTCTTGGGGTCTTCGGGTCTTGTCGCTTCTTCGGCTACAGGTCCTTCTCCGGACTTCCGCACCGGGCTGCGCTTCGGCTGCGGTGTTTGGCCACCACACGCCGCACCGTGGAACGGACCACGGACAGGGCAATTGTCCACTGGATCGGTGCCCAAGCGGAGCGGTTCGAGCTGACCGGTCGCACGAGGCGAAGCGAAGAAGCCGAAGCGAAGGCGAAGCGGCGGAAGTACGCAGAAATGGACTCCCAGCATCGGTGGGCGGGAGTACGCAGCTTCTTGGACTCTTTGTTGATGACTCTGCATGAAAGTCGAAAGAACGCTCCCCCAAGAGAAAACATCAAAAATCCCAAGAAGTTCAACAAGGACATGTGCTTCAGCTATTCTCTCCATGTGGCCATGCGAAAACCTCCTCACCATCATCCACCTTCTTCGAACATTTTCGGGATTCAAAACGATTGAAACACCTTCGTCCTGTCGAAACATGTCCTTTTTGGCCGAGCAGCACATCAGTGCTGCGAGCAGTGCGAGCAGAAGACCGCCTGTGGCCAGAAGCCACCTGTCACACGTCGCTGGGTCAATTGGACCATGTGTCATGTCAACAACTTGAATGGCCACTAGAGAACATGTGCTGGCCAATTGGGAAGAGTGGGTTGAAGCAGCTTGTTCGGGGGAACCCCCAAAATGGAACCCGGAAAAGAGCAAAACTAAGAAAACGACATCTCTACAAAGCCAGTGGTTGTGTGGAGATCCAAGGTCGGCCTTCCAAGTCTACCCCAATGCTCGGACTGGCACATTCGCCACTTCAATGTTCTGAGGTTTGGGGCGCGCAGGCGCGCAGCTAGAACTAGTGCAGATGGCTTTGGTAAGGATGGGAGCGCCGGGGTGGACCCCTAACAGGGATATATATATATATACCTGGACCTTCAAAGGGGTGTTTAGTGAAGATCTTTAAGTATTGTAGGGGCTTTCATTGGTGACCCCTTTGAAGGTGCTGGCATATAATATATATGTATGTTTTTTCACATGTTTGGTAGACACCCTGACATGTTGACTCGTTTGAAGTTGCAGCATCGGAGGATTCGTTCAAATTCCCGAATTCCCGTTCTCTGGACGTTGAAAAAGGTGATGACAAAGGAATCTTGAGCGGAATCCAGAGTCTCTGATATGAGTCACGGTATCCATCGAATCTACGGTAGACTCTTGAAGACATCCCTGAGATGTGGATGGTCAAAGCAGCCCCAAGAGGTTAAAATATCATCAACAGCGCACATGCCTAGATGACGTCGTGGCCCACCATCTATTTAATAGCCGGGTCATCCTGAACAAGCATTGTTTTACTCAGGGTTTGAACCTACACAACCAGATGGTTACCATTTTAAACATGGTCAAGCGGACTTCCAGGGCATGGTCCATGAGAAAAACCAAGAAATCGCACCTTCCGTGAAAAGCCACAAATCACGCGATCGAACCCACGAGCAAATGAACCCATGATCACCAAGGAATGCGTGAGACGTAGAGACCATAAGGTCGACCTTACCTAACAATCCATGGGGCACAAATGATGAACGGTTTTTTTCCAGCGAATGTATTACTGTATTATATCATAGTACCCTCAAGAAAGGAAAAAATAGAAAAAGTGAAAGAAAGAACAAACCATCACAGGTGTCTGTCCATCCTATTGCCGCCGTTCTTTTCGTGGCACACCAAATGGTCGTCCTCGTCCTCACCCAAATGGTCGTTCTTCCGGGGGCCCCATGAGCTGCAACCCATTTTTGGGGGTCGCTGCTCCACGGTGGCAGGGTCGAGCGGAACAAAGAGAAGGTACCCAGGTGTCACAAAGAGGGGTGGTTTGGCTCGTCCCATCCAGGGGCTGTGGAGGTGACAGGGGCACCCCCCCGAATTCCTCCAAGTTCGGCACCCCTTTTTTAGCTGCTGGTACATGAGAATCGACGTACACGACGAACATCAAAGTGGAAACCACCCTGCGAACGCAAAGGGTTGCGTCGTCATCCAAGGGTTATGAACCGCTCTCCACGGAACCGTAAAACATGAGTTGAAGGGTGCCTCTTTTTTTTCAGCAATCGTCTTGAGGGTCCGTGCACTCCACCACTTGCTTTGACCCGTTTAGTTTGTTCGTAGCCCCTCAGCCAAAGACAAACACACAACCGTGAAAAAAAACAAAAGGAGAAAAAGAACAAGCCCAAGAAGAACCAACAGCTGGGCATCAAAACCCGCCTATAGGCAATGGCACCATCGCAAATTCACCAACAAGTAGGGTGCCTTTGCCAGGCAATGCTATCTTCAAAAGCGTGAACCTTCCAATGTGCCATGTGAGTAAGCCAACACGGCAATTTGCCGGCATAGCACACATGTCATGTGCTCGCATATGTGCCAGCACGACAACGCCACTACAAGAAAACCAGAAGCCAGCAAGTCAGCGCGACAAGCATGACCCGACTTCAGCATCTCAGCATGACCAGCGTGTCAGCACGTTAGCTTCACCCCGTGCGAGCGGACCAGCATGCAACACATTAGCGTGACACCGTACAAGCATGTCAGCGTGACACCGCGTGTCAAGTGGCTGGCGCGCTCAAAGCATTTTCGCCATCGCTCGTGACTCAAGGCGCCTAAGGTCGTAGGCGAATGGGCATTCGGGCCCAAAGGGGATGCGGATCCGGAAACCTCTGGTGTGGGCCAAGCGATTCATGCAAATGGTTTGACATCCTTCGGGGGATCACTCCACACCAGTGGTCTCCTTCACCAAACAGTAAGCGGCCTCCTTCATGGCCTTCCTCAAAAGTGTGCTGTTGCCAAGACGCTTCGTCAAGGCATCTGCAAGCATCTGTGGTCCTGGGACCCAAAAGGTCTTCGTGCGAAGCTGCTTTGCAGAAATGCAAATCACTGCAACATCGATTTGCGCATGGCGGCATTGGCCGGCGTTCCCGGAGCGGCGACTCAGGAGGTCGTAGAGGGCCTTTGCGTCGGTGACGTGCGCTCCGGTGGCCTGGTCAGTGATCCTCACTGAAGCCACACTCTCATCCTCATGCTCCGGCAAGCGAAGCACCATGGCGGACTCAGCATCTCCCAGCCTGGTGCCGTCAAGCACTGAGGTGCTGGGATCCAAGACTTCGTGCCAAAGTGCACGAACCCACTCAACCTCTGCCAGGGCGTCGTCCATGGCCAAGGCCTCCGACCCGAGGGTCGCTTTGATCACTCGCTTGAGCTTGTGCGAGCGCCAACTGTTCAAGCTGAAGTCGGCCTTCTTGCCGTCGAGGATGCTGCGGTGAGCTAAAGCAAGCAGGAATCCACCTTGGCTCTTGTTTTCAACATTGGCCATTGATGCATCTGCTATTGTCATCCAGATGCTCTCCTCAGGTGCAATGGGAAGCACTCGGATGTAGACATCCATGGTGGACTTGAGCTCGCTGACAGTTTTGTTGGCCATCAAAATATGCTCCACCGTAGGACCAGTGGATGGCCAGGACACGCTCATCGCACATGCAGCTCCGACATCTGGTCGTCCTTCTTTGCCGACCCACAGCAAGCTTCCTCCAACTCCTCGCAACCAGGAGATCTCCTTCTCATCCAGGAGGGCTTCTTTCTGGCGCATGCGGTCCTTGCTCAAAGCAACCGGTCGAAGCTTCTCTTCGATGTACCGCTTCATGCTCACCTGGATTTCATGGTTGGGAAGCTGCTTCAAAGTCCTGCCGATGTACTCAGCAGAGGAGCCATGCACGTCCTTCCATTTTCCAAACTTCAGTTTGGTCCGCAGCTCTGCCATCAAAGAGTGATGCCGTTCATTGCCTCCTTGACAAAAATCATCAACATCTAAGAGCACCACGCCGGCAACAAACATCTTCTTTTCTCCAAGCTCTTCGGGCGTGGGCTTCAGGAAGTAGAGGCATGGATCAAACACACTCTCCTCATAGCCGAGGGACAGGAGCAAGCGGCGGATCGTGCACCTCCAAACAGCTGGTGCATTCACCAGTCCATACACTGCTGTCAGGACTCTGATGAGGCTGTCCTGCTCATAGCCAGGTATGCCAGTGGGTGGCATTGAAGCAAACAAGGGTCCCTGCTCTCGTTCCACAGGGTCGCTTTGACCAAAAGCTGAACTTACGTCCATGATGAAGAGGTTGTAGCGCAAGGAAGCTAGGATCTGGAGCGTCAGCATCACGGTGGTGCTGGAAGGTGTTGGTGCAAAACGTTCAAGCTGAAGGCTATCGGGATCTCGGTGTCCCAAAAGGATCCATCTGGCCTTTGCCTTCCAATCTTCTCCCACTTCTCCAGCTTTCTTCGTGATGATGAATCTGCTGGGCATGATTCTGTGGGAGTATTTTTCACGCGCCCATTTGATCTGCTCCTTGGAAGTGATCATCTCGATGGCATTGGAGCCGAGCAGGTTGTCAATCTCTTTTGTCTTCGCCTGTGCAAAGAGTTTTCGCTCGACTTCACTGAGGCGCTTCTCATTCAGCTCTTTGCCACTTTGCTTGGTGAGGTAGGAGAGGGAAGACTCTGCTTGCAGGAAGTGGTTGTAGTAGCAATCGCTCTTGACCACTTTGTGGAAGACCTGCAAGTCACGGCTGTTGGCTACCACAGGAAAAGATCTGCGGTCGCCCCATTCAGAAACATCATCTGCTCGCCAGGCTCCAAAGATTCTTGAGCGGTTGACCACTCGATCATCTGGCGCTGGCTTGTCCAAGCTCCTCTTCATGGATTCCACCAGTCGTGCATCTTCTTCTGGAGCCTTCTGTCGGTCAGGTTCTTCTTGAGGGCCTTCGATGGGTTCTTTGAAGGGCTTACCTGGGTCAGGATGACCTGGAAGAACTCTGTAGACCAAAATGGTCTCTATGCTCTGGACTCCTTCAGGAAGCTTTTCGTGAGCCTTGTGCACTGACATCTCGGGTGTGATTGGGATGTCCTGGGTCACCTTATTGGTGTCGATGTCAATGGTGACTCTTCGAGTGACATCGTGCCAGAGTGGACCTTTGCTGTTGGATCCTCTGTACCTCTTGGCATCAAGGTCATGACGGACCCACATTTTCATCTCTGGCTGTGCACTGTCGGGCTCATCGACTCTTTCTTCTTGTCGTGCACGCTGGTTCTCAACTGAGGCTTTCCACAACTCATCTGCCTCATTCATTGCTGGTGCGGCTGCTGGTCGTTCTGTTGCTGCCGAGTGTTCTGCCGCTGCCGGTGCTGATGCTATTGCTTGCGTTGGTTCATCTGTTGGTGAATCTGTGAGGTCGATCGGTGCTTGTGCGGGCCGAGGCGATCGTGTACGGTCTCGCCTCCCGCTTGTATCTGCCGGTGGTGGTGTTTCAGCACGGGTTCGTGCTGGAGCTTGTGCCGGTGTGCCTGGAGCCGGTGTCATAGGAGCCGGTGTGGAAGGATTGGGTGTCCTCAATCCTTCGGGGGGGTCCTCGAGGTGTTCCTGGAACCTTCCGGTAAACGGTGTGCTTGTCCAGTGGTGCTGCTCTTGCTGGCTCTGCTCGTGCTGCTTTGGCTGGTGGTTCAACTAGTTGTGGTTCATCTTCATCCAAATCTTCAGGCGGA